AATCCTTATTAACATACACTCTATAAATGCGATACGAATACAAGTTGTATAAAATGTAGAAAAATTCAATTTCTACGAACTTTTAAATCCCGAAAAATGATCTAGTACTAATATCGAGGGTCAGAACCCCAAGAGACGAGACGCATGCATATTAAATGTCACGAACAAAATAGAATAAATGAATAATCATATTTTTCTATTCATTCAACCCCCTTGATTAATTGCCGATGCTATGTGACCCGAGCGGGATGACCGCTAAGTATGTTTTCTTGTTTTTATTAACTAGCTTCGAAAAAGCCTCACTTTCTTTTTTTAATTAATCGATGTCGTTGGCATGGAGTTCTCATATCCTTTAAATTAAAATGTCAAGGGGTATTTTATCTTTGGGTTCACCACAGAACTAAAATCTATTTCCGTTCCTAGGACTCGAAAGTAAGCAAAACCTAACGGATAATTGAGGGTAGATTGTATGTTTCAGCAGCATTCAATTAACGCAAACATCATTGAACTGCGGTATTCAAATTTTATTAAAATCGCGTTCAAATATTTATCACACAATTTATGTTTGATTGCACACCGTCCATCATGCGAAGGTTTTTATTGGCGTTAGAAAAAAAACCAGCGCCAATCGCCACAGAGCATTGTCCAGTTCAAATAATCGTAAATTTCGAACTGGCTGAATATAATAAATTGCCGATGAGATCTGAGTGCCAACATTTCGGCAAAGTTTTTAAAGCACTCGCAAAGAATAATCTAATTCCTAATCTCATAGCAATAGGGCCTAAACTCGCTCAGCTACCGCCTCTGGAATGTCCAATCCTCTCGTATCCGTGTCTATTTGCACTCTGTACCCTTTGTTGTGGGCTTTTTTTCGGTTGTTTCGGAGTAAAGGCTGATAGAACACGTTTTTCAAATCATTAAACAGTTTGAAGCGCGTTCGCGGTTGGCAAAAAGGAGTGGAAAAACGGTTTTAAAAATCGCACGCGACCCGGGAAGTGATCGTTGTTTTAACAGGATAATGGTGTTCCGTGCTGATACACTGACCGTTTCAAAACTAAATTTTAACAGTCGGGTCCACTTTCTATTGAGCCTTATTTTCTTAGAACATATGCTTTTAGTACTAATTAATAATTTATGAAGTGTTTGGGCAGAAATACTATTATATATTAAGTAGGAAAAATATCGTATATATTGATATCTGGGCATTACCATTTGATTTCATAATATATTGTGTTATTGCGCTTACAACTTCTTCAATTATAAATTATATTACTTATCCATAAAATACATATAATATCACTATTTTTCACTAGAATTACACACACACTCATATCTGTAACAATCACGTAACAGATAAACCTCACAATACTAATGTTGGAAAACTCTGATGCTGGAGTGCGGACTAGCGGCATAATACAAAAAATAGAAAGGCCAGAGCATTCAGAGCCGGCCGCACTAAATGGTCCGAAACTACCGCCGTCTCAACGATTTATGCACACAGTAGCATTAATATGTTTTAAAAACTTATTATCTAACTGATAAACTATGCGACAAGGTCGCTATTGCAATGTATCTATTTACAATTATCCTGATAATTTTGTTACGAGATTATCACTTAAACCGGACGGAAAGGTAAAGTCCATTAATGAAATATCTAAAAGAATTTATACCAATAAAATAAGAAACAACATCTGCCTACTTTACTTGTATAATAACTTGAGTAAAGAATATTGTTTCTCCATATATATGTAAAGCGGGCTTGTCTGTCCGTTCCACCGTAATAAAGGGATCTGCATGAATTCGAATTTTATAAAATATTGAGGGTATTTTTATCGGAGCTTGGGATTTGGGTGCCATTAAACTTTTTTCGAATTTTATCTAATGGAAGATATTGTTCTTGTTTTTGCCGTTTAATGTACCAAACGAATGGTTCGGACCTCAAAGTTATTTTATGAATGGTTAGATAGAAAGACTATTTATTATTACGATAAATGTCGTACCGTTATAAAATTTCCATTATTTTTAAGATACCTGAGATTGTGGTCTGGGGTAGGTAATTTGTCGCTATTCATTTCATTGTTGAACTCGAAGTTATTGTATAGGTTTTTAGATACGTAGACATAAGTCTAGTTTTCTTTGACCTAGCTGGTGTAACAGTTGGATATGGTCTAAAAATACAAAGCGCCGCTTTTAAAATTCATAACAAAGTGAATAAAGAGAGTAAAGAAAAAGGTGGCTTTCCTTCGCGTTAATCACAAATTGAAATCAATCACCGACAGATGGATTCCGCCCAAAAATTTTCAATAAACCACCTTTAAAAGAGAACGATAATCAATCCTCATTCCGGCGGGTAGTATCGGAAGTAGCAGACCATTTTTAATCGTCTAAGAAATCGAAAGAATACAGTCACCGGCAGACAAATAGACGTAATTAATGATGTTCTACTCAGATAGCAGAATAAAGGAAGGGACAAAACAAAACATCGCGCGGGTGTCGAACGAAAGAATTTATCATCGCGACCGCAGCGACAGTCCAACCGCCAATGTCCATTTGGATAATGCCCAACGCGATTAAAAATATAAAAATACCCCCACCCCCCGGGGGTGGGAGGTCTGACGGAGGACACCGCTCTGAGGACACAAAAGGATTATAAATGAGAAGGAATTTTAGATAATATTTGTACGTTGGATGTGGATTGTAATGTCGGTAGATCGGGCGGGTAGGCGACGTCTCCCGAGCCGGGGGACCCCCGCGCCTTCCGCGATCCTAATGAGTGTTTGTATCAATTTGTTAGTATTGTATTTGAATATTTTTCGTGCGTTCGTTACGATTTTAATCCCTTGCGGTTGTTGCGGAGTGGATCGATGCTTTTTTGTTTTAATATTTCTCGGTTCGGTTGATGTTTTTTTTTTCTGTTATATTTTTAATTCTCGGCTGCGTTTGATCGTGGCGCGGTCGTTTTCGCGTTGATTAAACGCTGTTTTTTAAAATGTTATTGGAATGTTGATATCATTCGTCTTGAATGTACGAATACAACTTGGTAGATTTTGTTGTTGATAGTGTTGATTTAACATTTATTTTGTCTGTAGGTACAGAATACCTACACGTTTAATAAACTTAGTAACTTTACAAATTAACACATGAATGGAGAAAATAATGGCCGAGTTGTATCATTTTAATTATGATATGTAAATTGAATTACTTTTGGAATATGATACGAGATAATTAAAAATATGAAAAATTGTTCAAATAAACCCATTCGAGAGCGCGCTTTCCGAAAGAGAGGCCACGGCGTGGCAGCAGCGATAGCGCCAAAGGCTGAGATAAGCTTGGAAAAATATAATTCATCGTCGTAATTAATAAATTAGAATATTTTTTTTTCACTCGGGGCTTTTTAAACACGTACCCAGAATCCGAATGAGCGCAAAAGAATAACAGCGAGGCGACACCGCGGCCCCGCGACGTGTTTTCAATTCATTATCTCGAAAACAAAAATTTCATTAGCCCCGAGATTTCCTTTTTAAATTTAATTATTCATATTTAAATTAAACATAATATAATAGAGGTCCGCGTCCGTAAAAAGCGGTTTTATCGTATCATATTTTATTAAACGAATTTATAATTCCGCGTCGAATCGGGGCGCAGCGGCGGGCGGGGGGCGACCGAAATATTTATGAGTACAGAGCAGAAAAATCCACAATAATATTTCAGGGATGTCCGCCGGTCTTTACTTACCCTCTCTGATCTATTTAAAAAAGAGGCCCGGAAGGACAAAGGGTCGTAAAAAAACTGGACACGTATAGAGGTTACCCGCGTCGCGTCGGCTTTGTCTGATTCTTATTTTTTACCGAATCGGAACCTTTCCTGGGCTTTTTATCGGTTTTTGTTCCGGAGGTGGGTCCGGCCTGTATTTGTATGCCGTTTGTTCTAATGCACGATCGTTTGTTACCCCTTTTCTCTCGCGTGGTAAAAAGGCGACCCTTTGCTATGCAAACGTTGTGATTTACAGTCCTCAGAAGGGAGGTCCGTTTCTTTAACGTTTTTCTGCTTCTGTTTTAATTGGCCAGTGTTTTCGTTAAATGTCTCGCATGTATTTACGAAACATTCAAAATTTCAAACCTCTCACAATACACTGAACTAATAATTAGCGAGTCGAAGCCTTTGCTTCCGTCTGATAGATTATATAAATATACGTACGTATGAAATTTTCGTCAGTCGAGAAATAGCAAAAGTATTATATAAACTTGTTTTACTGTATTTGTTATTATTAACAAACATTTGTGTAAAGCTATATATATTATGTATATGTGAACCTTCCAATCATTAATTTAATTATGGACCGCACAAAAGTAACGGTTTGGGGTAACCGCGAATCTTTATAAGGGATTAATGAATGAAACCCATTTTTACTGATAAGGGGAAGCCCGGAAGAGATTTAACAATGTTGGATTTATTTTATGTGATTTTATGTCATAAAACAAGCGCGTGTAAAATTAAAGTTCCTAACAAAGAAATATACCATTAGTTCGTAACAAAGTATAATAAAACTCATGAATAATTCTTCATGCAAGATAACATTCCTACAGACAGATTACCAAGTTTTGTCTGTATATGCCCTACGTTTTTTTTTTATTAGAGAACGTAACTTTTTTTTTATATAAAGAAGGAAAGATAATCGTGGAGTTCACTTAATGGATGCTGAAATATCCCAGCTATTTAACATTTAAACAAGATGCGCCGTCTACCTATTTTGGCTTTGGATATTCGGAAATCCCCAGACTGAAACGGAAACACGATTAAGCTTCACGGCTTTTTCATCTGTTAACAGTGGTTCATATCCGGATTTCCAGACGAAGTCCAACATGTTGCAGAAAAATTATAAATTGTTATATTATGCAATCGACTCATCAACTTGTATGCTTTTATTTGGCAATATTATATATATAAAATTATGACAGGTTTGTACTAAATAATTTTGCATCGTACATTTTTTGTTTCAGGAGCTATTCGCTAGACGAACGATTCATGTATTCGAAGGGAGAGGTGCACAGGGTACGTTGGCACCCGAAGTCGTTGTCCCATGTGTTGGTACTTCTGTCTGATAATACTATGAGGTGAGGCTTGTAATATTTACCAGGCTTAAATCTATACTAATATAATATTATAAAGCTTTATTCCTTTGTTTGTTTGAATGCGCTAATCTCGGGAACTACTGGTTAGACAATTTTATTGAAAATAGCTTTAAAACATCACACTTCAGCCAATAGGAGCGAAGAAACAGTGGGAAATGTGGAATAAACGGGGAATATTATTAATCTTTAGGGGTTACTGTTGCGCGCGTTGCGCACTATTAAACTAAAAAAAAATATGTCAGTATAAATTAATTATTTATTATATAAAGAAATGTCCGCGACAGTATCATTGTCTATCTATTAAAATTTAACTTCAGACAGGGAGAACAGCTATAATTTAAAAATGTGAGCAAGGTTTTTGGAACATAAATTTGATGACTAAAATAACTATTCTACACAGGCGAAGTCGCTAGCACAGCTAGTATATAATAAATCTCATGATTGTACTTAAAAATACGATCGTCCTCTTTACGTGTTACCGTTATTACATGGTCGGGTTATAGCTTAACTATGCAGCTTTTTTTAATTACCCTTCTTTCTATCAGAATAGAAGTTATCGAAATATTAAATATACAGCTTATGAGAGTAATGCTCCTTAAGTAAATTTTAACTGCTTCAAACACGAAATAAATCAATGAATCTTGGGGTGTTAGATAAAGTAATAGAATAAAGGTCGCGTTTCTAACCGTTTAAAATTCATTATGTAACTATGAAATAACTGGTATGTAATGAAATTACTTTTTTTTTATTTATGTTACACCTTTATATTTAATCTTTCAGACTCTATAACATCGCCCTAAAGTCCGGTCCAAAAATGGTTAAGTCATTCACAATTGGACCAAAGCCTGTTGGATCTTTGGGGATGACTCTCTTGGACAGTTTTGGAGACAGTGCGGTGGATTTCACTCCAACGCCCGATGCGGAGCACATACTGATTCTCAGCGGAAATGGAGACGTGTATATAATGAATAGTGACTTCCTGGAAAGCAAACGGTATTTCTATGAATTTATTCATCTCTGTGGCTTACCGATGCATGCGCTGCGAAAATTGTTCAAGATACCCAAAATATATGTAATAAAGAATGATTCCTCTTTAAACCTAAAAATGTACGACACTAAGACAAGATTAACTGTATAAAGAGGTTTGCGAAAACAAATCTGGATGCCCAAAATCACTGTTCTACGCGGACGAAGTCGCTGACACAGCTAGTAAGAGATTAATTGTTTTCGGGATATAGATAGAAGGGAGTTTTAGTTCGTTAGAAGTTAATTAGGTATCTATTCTTAATATTATAAAGCTGAAGAGTTTGTTTGTTTGAACGCGCTAACCTCTGGAACTACTGGTTCGAATCGAACTTATGGTGTCGGTGAGACCACTTATCAAGGAATGCTTTAGGTATAGTATAAAATCTTAGAACGCGATCAATAAGAGCAAAGAAACTAAGGGAAATGTAGAAAAGCCCAAAGCTCCCGCGAAAAGCAGACGAGCGTTACGAAAACACTTCAAGAAACCAAAAAATATGTATGAAGTATTCTTCTTGAAATAATCTAAAAACTACAGTAGTTGTCTATCTTTTACGATTATCTTACAAGAACCGGATACTATATATAATACTTTTAAATTTTAACACACAAAAAACTAATCCAGTAACAAAATATGTCACAATCGATGGACGAAATATTTAGTATTATTAGCGATTTTCCAGCCCCCTTCAAATCAGACTGCGCGGCCCACTGCCCATGTACCCACCGGCGGATGACAATTACGGCTCTGAGTCCTGCTCCATCATGACCATGGGCGCAGGGGAATGGTCCACGCTGGTGGTGATCGCAAGTGCATCTGCGTCTCTCTACCACTGCTTACTGTTACCTGAAGTAAGTAAACTTAGTATCTACGTACAAACGTGGAAATTTATTCTCTCACACGGATCTCGTTGGTTTCTTTTTATAAGATTAAATTAAAACCATAAATATCGGCGGCCATGTTTTCGTTATTGTTATAATTCAACCATTTTACAATATAATTTTGAAAATATCCAAACCCAACATAAGTCGATAGCCTTTTTATCCATCCTTTATACGTTCGTGGTATTGTAGTGACAATTGGTATACAGAATTGTGTCTAATTAGTCTATGTTGATCCTTCCAGGCTGATAAAGAGAATGGCGACGGTTACGCGCTATACGTGATGGAGTCTGTAGAACTTAATATCGTGTTGAACAGCAAAGATGATGTACCCTTTGCTTATCCAGTTCACCTGTATCCGGTAAGACTATTTTTTAATATCTTTGTATTTAAGTTTTTTGCATATTCACTATTAAAACTGTATAAAAACAAAATTATCGATAAAAAAAGAGTTTCTTGCTGGCTCTTCTTCTTCTTATCTTCTAAAATGGCAGTAATTAACTACCTACACTAATATTGTAAGGAGGAAAGATTTTTATTTGTATGTTTGTAATAAATAAATTCAAAAACTATAGTGCCTTAAAAAAATCTCGTTGATTAACTATTCATTAAACTCTGCAAATCAAAAGAAAAATGTTTGTGTGTGTAAAGGTTTATAACGTGCAAAGTAGGGGGTATAACATATGTTGTCGGAAAACCCAAAAGAAAATTCACATGAACAAACAAACGTCTCTTCAAACGTTTAACCATTTTTTTTAACTAAAGTAATAACTTGTTTAAGTTGGATAAATGTTTGTGATGGCAACTTCCTTTCTCATTTTGTAATATATATTGTATGCAGTGTTTGGGCAACACTTATGCGTGCATGCATGCTGGTGGCGTGCATTCTGTGACACTACCTATCATGGGATACCTCAAAGACTACGCGATGGCCGACGAAAGTAAGTGCTCTATCTCTTTCCAATAGCTGTAATAATTATTCTTATGATAGTTAAAACAATATTCATAAATCCACAGACTGAAGCCGATACGCCAATAAACTTTATTTTTTGATGTTTCATGGGGAACCGGTGGTTCGTGACCCGGAACTCCGATATTCCCACCACCCATTCAATATCTAGATGGCCAGAGGAAGCCTAACATGTGTCAGTATTAGACCAACGAATTTTAATAGTCGCTAATTAATAAATCAATTTCCAGATGAAATCGAGTCGATCCTATCTCTAATAAGCAGTAAGTCGAGTACAGCGCGCCATCTTGTCTGTACAAGTGAACGCGAAGCCAGGCCACCGCTGGGTTTGGTGTTGTCTTCGCCACCATTGCACGAAGTTCTTATTCTATGCTCCACTGGAGAGCTTATTACTAGGTAACTTTTAACGCTATATATAAGACCATGGGTATCGATCCACGTTAAGTGTCTATGTTGTTCGGAACACACTTTTTCAATTACTTAAATTTTTTTTTCATTTATAATCGATTATTAATTTATATAGTGCCATCATGTGCAGAGCATAAGACATAAGTTATTTTCTAAATAAAACACTTTAACGGTTTAAAACGCGATATATTAGTTAAACTTATTTGAAAATGATTTTTAACTTCGGCCCGATGTTTCGGATGTTTTGCAGCAACCGTGGTCACGGGGGAGACACGGGTCTCCCCGTGTTTTTATTTAAATGTGTACTACTCGCGTAAACTATAGACAGTATTTAAGTTATTTTATATTTTTATTCTCCTGTACTTCAGGTTGCCTGGAAAAGATCGCTACTTAGAAATAAGGCCGCTTTTTATTTATAAGTTAGTACGTAAGATTTTTTCCTCATTAATATGTATTTTCTATTCTCTGTTTTATAAATATTAAAGCTATAGTAAATAATGGCTAAAATAAAATAAGACATTAAACTTAATTTGCAAATGTTAAAGTTGAAATTACATTGCGCGAGAGGTGCGTTAGGTTGAAAAAAATTGACGATGACGCGTAACTCAATTGTTCAGAGCAACAGCACGGAACGTTGTAGGTGCCGGCTCAAGTCCTGCCTGTATCGTAATTTTTGCAATTTTTAATCGATTATTAATTTATATTTCTGTTTATTGCAGGAGTCTAGAACCTTACATCCTGGAAGAAACGCTATTCAGAGAACTGCAGCTTAAGAACCCAGCCCTAGATAATGATGATATTCACAATATATTAAAAGAGGTACAATTACGGCTTTTTTATCTTATCTTATTTATTTTAATTTTATCTTCTACTCATTAAAAAAAAGTACAACTGAACTAAGAGGGTTAAAATTAACATTCTTACATTTTCTTCTTAATTCTTCTTGTCCAGTGGAAACATGTATATTTCTTAGGATTAAAAGTAGTGTCTGTGTTGTTCGGGATGGTTTCACGGCTTTTTCATCAGACGTACAGTGGTTCGCCACCCGGACGAAATGTAGAAAGTGTCACTAGCTTTTTAGTGCCCAGATGTCTTGAAAAAAATATAATTTCGAATCGAATCGAATCCACGGCTCATTGATTACTATCCAACCATTGCTACCATAAGACATACAAATATCGTTAAGCTATTAGATAGTTATTAGTAGCAAACGTTACTTCTAAGTATTAATGTAGAACAAGAAGGATAAATAAATATTAATAAACAAAAGGCGACGCAAACTGTGGTAGTTTTTTAAATGTCTGTAGTTTACACAAATAGTACACATTTAAATAAAACACTTTAACGGTCTGAAACGCGATATATATTAGTTAAACTTGTTTGAAAATTATTTTAACTACGGCTCGGCATTGTCTACCCGTGACCACTGCTGCAGAGCATCCGGAACGTTTTTTTTTTTTTTATTAAAAAATATTATACAGTAATTTCTATTTCTTTAGTAACGGGTAACCTTTGTGTATTTCAGCGTCAGAAGCTGTCATTTGTGACAATCATTCAGGAGATATTGAGCCGTGAAGTATCGCAACCGATTCTCAACATGAACAAAACATCAGATCCAGAGCCGAAGGAATTATTAGAGGTATTTAATGATACAAAGACTTGAAGCTTATTTTTCCTTGAATAATGCTCTAAATACGCATGTATTTGGATTTACGCTTATTTTTTTTTAATATAGAGGGGGACGGACACGCATTGGGTGCACTTCAAGGCAGGTGAAATAACCCAGCTCATTTTTGGCTTTGGATATTCGGATTCTAATGCATTTAAATAAAAACGAATCATTAAAGTTGAATGTTGTGAATGAATCTAATAAGTCCCACAAAATATTACATCTTGATAAGACGCGCTGTCTATCTATTTTGGCTTTGGGTTTCCGGAAACCCACAGACTGAAACCAAAACGGGATTAAACTTCGCATTTTCATCTGTGGACAATGGTTCGTAGCCCGAATGGAATTTCGATATTCCTATCACCCATTTAATATCCAGATTTTCAGACGAAGTTCCATAAAGTAAATTGATTAAAAAACATTTTAATAAAACACTCTAACGGCCGTGTTCACGGGGAGGTCAGTCTCCCCGTGACCACGGCTGCTGCAGAGCATCCGAAACGTCGGGCCGAAGTTAAAAATCATTTTCAAATAAGTTTAACTAACATATCGCGTTTTAAACCGTTAAAGTGTTTTATTTAAATGTGTACTACTCGCGTGAACTATAGACAGAATTTAGAAACATTTAAACAAAACAATAAATATTTATAAATAACAGTTTAAAACGCGATATACATATATTGATACACGATATGTATATCTGCTGCTAATCATGAGAACTAATATATATCGCGTAACCGTTAAAGTGTTTTATTTAAATGTGTCCTATACGCGCAAACTACAGACAGTATTTGATAAGAAGAATCTTGAACTCGATGGGGATCGAACCCTAAAATATTAGCCAAATATTGCTACCATTAGAGCCAAAAGTTACTGAAATATGGTATTGTATTCCAGATGTTAACAGAAGTAACAGTGAAACTCCGCGAACAGTACATACTGCGTCAGAATCGAGCCAATTCCGCCATTACGAGCAAGACTAATGCTTTACTGGGATTGCACCAACAGCAAACAGCTTGGCAAACTGAGCTACAGGTAACTTACACCTAACGTATTCTTCCTTAATGTGGGGCTTGGGCCAGACTAGATCCTTTTTCCGTCTCACATAGCAACTACATCTTCAAAGATACATTCTGAGAGTAAATAAAATAACAAACAAGTTATAATTCTATATAACAAGGTTCAACACCTTGGTATAAAAAAGTTTGTAATCTTTTTTTTTTAACTAATGGTGTGAATGCCTAACGCACGCCCATGTCGGGCAAGTGTGACGTGGGGAGTGTGGTAAATCGTATCGTTCGCCGATCAGAACCACTAAACACACCACTAGCCTTCTACAGTGCTTTGAGGGAGCCCTGGGAACAAGTTTGTACGAATCCAAAGCTCCCAGCACCAATGCCCATTTCAGACAAGGGGGAAGCGAGATTAGGGATGACCTTGGAGGTGCGCATAGCATCGCCTCCTTGATGCCCGTTTTGCCGAAGTTTTGTAATCCTAAAAGCAATACTATTTTCGTAATATATTAAATCATTGTTAACTGTAGTAACTTATTCAAACAAGACAAAATTATCTAGTCTACATTTTTTTATCGGCATTGGTGAAGCTGCTAGATCTTGACAAAGTCTCTCCTTTTACTGGAAAGCTTATGTGATACCTAACAATTAGGAATGTTTAAACTAACTCGTTCATTTTACAGAAGGAAATACAGAGCGTCGAACTTCAGTCGTCTCTTTTGATTGAGAAAAGAGATTTGGCTGAAAAGCGTCAGGAGGACATTAAATATAGGTATGTTTAAGTTTGCCCATAAAGAAAAAAATAATCTTTAATCAAATAAATCATAATGCATGTCTTTAATAGATTCATAAGTTAAAATAAAAAAAATATATTTGCTAATAATTAAACTTTTAACACACTCTGTGTTTGGGTGCGGTGTACGCCTTTTTGAAACCTGTTTGTTAGATAAATTATTTCTGAAATCGTTTCGTTTTGTTTAGGTGCTCCGCAGCAATACGCGCACTGAGATCTTCTTCTCACAAGAGTCCAGCTGAACTGGAGCTATTGAAACAATTGGAGACTTACAAAGAAAAAGCAACGCAAATGCAAACTCAGACACGCGCTCTTAGGGGGCATGTCGACTCGCATATTGAACGGGTAAAAAATGTTTTAATAATAATAGAGGGGGACAGACAAACATGGGATCCCTTGATATGATATACCCCAGCCTATAGCATCTTAATATGATGTGTTGTCGGCCTATTTTGGCTTGGATGATATGAGAAAATAATTTCTATAATCTTTTTTTTTTGTAAAAATTTCAAGATAACTATAACAATATTTTTTATTAGATATGTTACACTTCCGTCGTTTGTTCCTAATTACTATTTTAACCACAGATAAGAAACTCATGAAAGCCTATATATCTATAGTATATATCTGTATAGTATTTCAAAAAGCCAAAATTGACGGGCTCGTGTAATGCTAGTAATATACGGTTAATATCGGGTCGTGGGATCGATTCCCACCGGGTCCAACCATAAAGTAAACCCTATGCTCTTCTGTCCTCCTCTCTCTGAAAAAAAACTTAATTAATTAATATAGGTTTTTATCTGTCTTAAGAACTGATCCTTGATTCTGTTGGTTAGTTATTTATAATAGTAATTCCTTCATAACGCAATTTTTTGCAGATAAAACGTTGGCAGGACGAGTACAAAAAGAAAGACATAGCTCTAGGAAAGTCTCACAGCGATACCATCTCATCTATATTGCAACAACAGTTAGTAAAATTCATAGTTTTTATTTCAACACTATTGATGATTTTATATAATATTATTTTGGATTCTCTACTTTACATAAACTGTATTAAATTGTACGCCCTTTGCTGTAATTAATAATACCAAAAATAAAAATCTTTATTCTTTCTTTATGACGAAAAGAATGCCTTTCAACGGACCTACTTAAATGTATTTTTATTTCAAAATAAAGCATGTTTCTTGGTGTTTCAGTTTTGATTAATAAACCAAAAAGGATATTTAATGATGTTTAAAAATTATTGCTTGTTTGTATTAATATTGTTTTTTTTTTCAGGACAAACCAAATATCTGTGCTCATTGAAGAAACTAAACTACTGAAAGATCAATTGGGTGTCGTCTAATTTTGTCTTTATAGTATTAAGTGTATGCATGAGTCTGATTTTTAATTAAAATTTCTACAATGAAAGAGAAGATACTACTCTTTCTCCAAAACAGTTCCTGATTGACATATAAAAATCAAGAATTATTGTTCAGAATGTGTTTTGTTTAATAAGAATTAAAAGTTGTGTTATGAGATAATTTTGGTATGTTTTTGATCAATTTTGTATTGGTTATAAAATTGTTAATAAAATTCAATAATCTAAAGTGTTTATTAAAATGTAAACAAATCGTTTGCACATGTATATTTCACAATAGTTCGTATATCTAAAACTTATCACCTATACTTAATACGTCATCATATTTGATTGTCCACATACAGGCAGACCTTGGTGTCAATATAGTTCTAATATTGAAGATCTAGGTCTGCAAGAATTCAGTTCAATTAAGGACTAAACATTAATAAGAGGTCCCCAAAACATTTTTGACACGCGAGATTCGTCTTCAGTGTAGAAAAAGTCTTTTCCCAGCTTAACAAATTCTTTCTGCGACAATTTTCCATCCTAAAACAGAAAGAAAATCATAAAGTACGAACATACATAAATTACAATATTTCAAAAAGAGATTTGGGGCGAATACTCTGTGGGTTCTATATCTCGTAATGATTTATTCGATATCTGTGGTAATCAGTCGATGTCAATTGTCAAAACTTTATTAGGACGTGTAGAAATTTACATTATATTTCCTTTCTTTATTTACGACAAAGGTAAACAATACTTAACTTACTTTATAAGATAACGTCTGTTTAAATTCAAATTGCAATAAGCTGATCTAATATCAACTTGCGCGTTAAGAGAAACCTTAATTTTCTCGTTAGGCGCAAGTTGAAAGAGGTGATTCCGGTTAAGTACTTATTAATTAATTTTTTATGAACTTTATGTTTATAAACTTTAGGGATGGTCAATTATGTATTTATTTCAATTTTATCGTCTACAAAATTAACGTTTCATTCAATTTAAAACAATTTTAATTCTATATTTACAATATCAGTAAGCTTATCAAAAATATTTTTATAAATCGCCTATAAACGATTAGATAAATGACTGATTCTATGACCTAATTTAAAAAATAAATGATAGTTGTTTTAAAACTTTATTATTTTTTAGATGTTATTGCACATGAAGGCACTATATAATTAAAAATCGGAAATAAATTGAAAAAAATTCCGCGGAAATAAATTGAGAGCGTTAGAGCGACAGCACTGAACGCTGACGATGCCGGTTGAAGTCTTGCCTGAGTCGAAAATTGTATCTTATTTTAGATTTTTAAATTGAATGATAGTTGAACAACAATGATATTACAATCCTTAACATAAACAATTTCAGTAAATCATGGCACAAAACTTCAAGACTTTAATTCATTTATCCATTCTTTTGACTGATGATGAATTATCCAAGGCTCTTAGTGTATGGTTCAATGAACCTACAACATTCACACATTGGGAGGTAAGAATATCCAATTGATTATATACATATTTTTTATAACAATGTAACAACATTATTATTTATAATTTAGCCTAAGAAATCAACTAAGTATATAAATTACTATTTATAGTACCTATTGAAAAACAACTACAGGAATTAAGTACTCAACAATAATAATCTATTTTCAGCCCATTGGTGAAATGGGAAAAGGAGACTCATATTTAAGTGATGTATACAAAATAAAAATATACGGCCAATGCAATGGATCATCAAAGCACATACAAATCATTGTAAAGACCATTCCAAAAAATACTTCCAGACGTCTAACATTCCGCAGTCATGATTTCTTCAGGAATGAAATTAACTTTTACCAAAAAGTATTACCTGTATTACTCAAATTCCAATCTGAGAAAGAAATGTCAGAGTCATATACAAATTACACAAATGTTTTTCTAGCACTATCTGATGGTACTAATGATGTGATCTGTTTAGAGGATGTGTCTTTAGAAAATTATGGAAGCCCAGTACGCCAAGAAGGCATAGATTATGAACATTTCAAACTGACTTTGAGGGTGCTCGCAAAATATCACGCATTATCCTTTGCATTCCGTGATCAACACCCAAATGAATTCTTTACCATTAGCAATTTCGTATCAGAAGAATATTATGATGATAAACATTGGGACTGGTATGAACGTTTCTGGAAAAGGATTTCCTCGGTGGCTATTGATGCAGTTGAGAAAGAGTATCCAAATACTCACTATGTAAATAAAGTCAAAGAGTTTGCAGTACCGGAACAGTACAAAAATATGATTAAAGCTGCTAAAGACAAAACTAACTGTGTTATATCCCATGGAGACTGTTGGACAACTAATTTCTTATATAAGTATGACAAAGATGAAGTTATCGATGCGAAAATGATTGACTTTCAATTAACTAGATGTGCTAGTCCAGTGCTAGATATATCCTTTGCAATATATGCATGCACCGATCAATATTTACGGTCAAAATACTATGATGACCTATTGAAATATTACTATGACATATTAGCAAAGCAGATAAATGAAATGGGCAGCGATTCAAATAAGGTTTATTCATGGGAAACATTTATGAGAGAAATGAAGAAATATTCCTATTTTGGACTGGCGTTTAGTTTCGAATCTACACCGTTTATTATTCTAGCGCCGGAGGACGCATTCAATATGAATCTATCGGTAAACTTTTTTGTATTTGTGTGCTAATTAATCTTGTTTGTTGTGTTTAATTCACTACTTCTATATGCTCTTATCATTCTAGGGAGACGAAAAGAGGAATATTGAAGAGTTTTGGCCAGTAGCACCAATAAAAACTAAGGAGGGTAGATTGAGAGAAGCAAACAATATAGTACACTGTGTTGATCGGGGGTATATATGAATTCTCCGAAAATACATACAAAAATTAACATGACATTTGCATATTAAAAAGTCTGCATAATGTATATACTTAGTATAAAATAACAGTTGTAAATAAGTTAGATGTGTTAACATAATTCATAATTATTAACACTTTTATATAGAAGAATTTCATACTTATTTACATTTAATAAATCTATATACTTTTTCTTTGTCTACCTATTTTAAGAGCTAGGCAATATTAACAATTACAAAATGAAATTAAACAACGAAGTTTTATAAGAACTATAGTATGATTGAATTGCATCGTCATAATCATCAACTGAAAACTTAAATGTTGTATTTTTTACTCACCCCATTTGTATCAATAACTGCAAAAGCGATGGCCGCGTGTTCATTGCTTAGTCCAAGGCATTTGAAGAACAATTTGAACTCGTTGACTGATATGAATCCAGAGTTGTCTTTATCCACTGCCTGTTGGGGGAACATTTTTGCATAATCATAACCGTCTCTTTTGAAATGTATAGCTTTATTAAATTAGACCTATTATTAATTGGATAAGGTTTAAATGGAAATGGAGTGCCCACCGGGCTTGGTGAGAAGACTACAATTTTAGGTTTAAAAAAAATTGGAGATACAGATTTTACTTAGATAAGCTTTTATGTTAAAAAATATGATCTAAATGTAAAACTTACCTTAAAAAGATAAGGTAACCACCGATGCGCGCGCTTCTTCAATGTCTTATCATTGAGAACGTGATGCATGTCTTCCAAGTACTGTTCCACCGTCACATAATTGTATGGGTCTATAGCACCCCACTGCTCCTCCCATGTCATCTGAAACACACATTTTATTTTAGAATCCTATATAATTAAATAAATAACTTAGAATTGATTTCAGAGTTTGTATTTCTTTGCCTTATCTTATTGTTTAAAATTTTATTTATCTAAAGTTTTGTTAGGTATTACTTTACTAGATACAATTAAATTATATAATATAAATATAATAACTAAGATTTTCTTTAGGGACTTTATTATTGAAGAGGTAAAACCACAGCAAAAAATAATCCAAAAGGATATTGCTTACATGGACATTCGGTTTATTGTTACAAAATGACAAAATTCAATTACTTACTTTGATTATAGAAGTGAATTCCTTAGCCTGCTCTTGATCCAAATGCCCAAGCGACTTAAAGCGCTCAGAAAAAAGAATAAAATCGTTAAATGAGATCAATCCATCCTTGTCTACATCCAGAATATTGTGCACTGTGCGCATTTTGCGTCTCCAGAATTCCGACTGAAAAATAATTGGAACTTGGTTACATTTACCTTTAATCACCTATCTATATGACAGCAGTATTAATTTAATATTCTCCAAGAAACAGATGGGACTAAAATTAAGAGCCGTTAATTTTTAATTAACATAAACAATGACACTATAACTTTTGTCAATCGGCGTCATATGACTTTTTTTTAATTTAGTTACTCAAAAGGTGTGTTGATGTTCCTAATTTTACAAATACTTCAAATGAGACCTACCCTATCAAAACCCTTGCATTCTGTATCTGAATCCGAGTCTGAGTCACTCTCCTCACGTTTCCTCCTATCCTCTTCAGGTCTTCCATGTTGTTTGCTGTAACACCGAAGGCCTTTTATTCGCTCCGCAATGTCGACTTCTCTCGGCTCTTGATAAGTTTGCAAATAACACACAGTACCGCTACAGGTCACCTGCGCGTGGATATGCTGAAACAAGTCAATAAATAAATGAAGTGTGCAACAATATATGGAATTAATAGGTTTAGACCGATCGATACGACACGAATTTTACTTCTCATTAGAAAAAGCACTAAGTCAGTCCCATGTTGAAAAAAAGCAATTTCATCCAGCTATACATAAAAATGACCTTTTATTTTAATTTTTTCTTAATATAATAGCTATGTATGTAAACAAAATGCCATAGAATATAAAGTATAGGTAAACATACTTATTTTAGTTCTATGAGTTATGACTTATTACAATAAATCCTATGAGCAATAGAACAGCAACAATATTTATGTAATTAGTTTAATTAATAAATGCGTTTTAAACCGTTGAAATTGTTGTATCTAAATAAGTGTTCAATTTATAATACAACTACGACTGTAAGTTCATGCAAGACACATTCCGTTGGTGAAGGTACTTTATATTTTCTAAATCATGTTTGCTGTAGTTAGATCTTACAATGTTATAACCAGCCTTAACTTACATCGGTGACGAAATATTTCCTAAGCACAAATTACTTAAAACCAGTTCCTAACACAAGAATATGATTAATTCCAATGTAGTATTTGTAACCTTATTTATACCATAATTCCATTTAAGAGATCACCTATAAATTAATAACAATAAGTTTGGGTGGGTTAACCCACTCAATTATAGGTGGTATGCAAATAACATATAAAAAACATTTTTTTCAAACCTGCCTGCAAAACAGACATCCCAGTTTTAAATGTAGTGAGGTGAAAAAATAAAACATGTCCAGTTATACTTTATATTTGGTCTGCTATAAAACTAAACATGCTCATGTAATAAAAAAATTATTTAACAAATATACTAAGAATAATGGAAGGCTTAGTTTAAGCTAAATTACTAAGTTACTTAAAGAAGAAACATTGTAACCAATTTTAAGACAGACCATATTAAGATACACCTCCATGTTTCTAAAATAATTATATTTCTGTTTAATTTTGTATTACTTAATACAAAGTAGGAAAAAGGAAAAAATAGACTGCACAAACATAATAAACATTTCAAACAAATACCTAGGAATTCTTAGAACAATCTTATAGAACTACATAGCCACTAGTCAAGATCTTTAATTATCCCAAAATTCATCACTATCCTCATCATGATTATTGTGAGCGTCTGAGATTCTAACAATTTTAAACTGTGTTTGTGGTATTCCAGAAACCGACTGCCTGGATGGTGGCAAGGACGGAGTTGAATTATTCTTATCAAATGATTGCAACATTTCACCAGCTCTAGGTTCATTGCCAAGAAATTCATTATCATCATGTTTAGATGTGAAATCGTTTAAACCAATACCAGGAGGTAATGCCGCGTATGCGGTGTCACATTTTTTCATATGCTCCAAAAGGTCAGTCTTTAAAACTCTGTGGCTGGCGTTATAGGGACAAATTTCAAAGTCCGGTGTCTTGTCAGGACAAATACAAAGATGTTTTTGGAACCTCGAACCTTTTCTAGCAATACGATGCGATTTGTTGTATGGACACGAGCGGAAGTTATCTTCATTCATCATTTTGTAGAAGTTCCGCCGAATTTAGAGCGGTTGAAAGTTCGATGTATAACTTAAAGGAGAATTTATTCTTGGGTAAATAGTTAGAGATTATTCACATTACTGTTTACTTGACTGTTGAGAATATCTAAATTAACACAATAATAATAAGCTTATTCATAACAACAAGCTTTCTTTGAAACTACAAATGCATTTATGCAAGTTTTATGACTATAAACTATTGGGATTGGCTAACAAATTGAAAAATGGCGGTTCAACTATTTTGTCAATTGTCAAAGCTAAATACAGATACAAAATGCACGGAGTTGCGAATAGAACGTTCGTCTTAAATTATCATAATATCTTAATTCATGAACGACTAATAAATAAAGATGCCTATAGAAGGTAGTACAAGAAGTGAAGACTTTTACTTCTTATTGGATAACGACTTTGAATTTAGAAGACGAAAAAAATAATTGTATCCAAAAAGGTAGATTCACTGTGGGCATTTTCTATACCCTCACAAGCTCACATACATAGTGGCAACACGTTTTTTTATTGAAAAGTCTAACGCGCTCTCGCCGTAGAAATTGTGAAATACCTACATCGCTAAGGCCCAGAGTGAAATGTGAATGGTGTCGATGACCCTAATTCACTTGCCTATAGCCCTTGTATGACCCGGTCAATAACCTCATTAGTACCTATAGACTAAAGTATTGTATTTTAAACTATATTATATTGCTAGAAAACACATAAATAAGTAAATAAACTTGTAAATATAAATATTATTCCCCGTTATTGTTAAATGAGTTATAGTCTTCTAATTTTCAAATACCTAGTTTAATTAACTTTAAATCAATTGTACTTAAATTTATAATTTGTTAACGCGCACTACGACCGAGGAACTGTTCATCTTTCGTAACTTTAATTTGATCTTCCATAATGCTCGTTTAACTTGAGACACCTATAAATCTCTTCATCATTACGCATACAAATGTATATTAATTTATAATACATCCGACCTCAAATTTGTAAATTGGTCCAAGGCTCAACGACATTGCAAATTGTTGGATCTCAACGAATCAGACGTTATTATGAATTATTGATGCGACCTTAAAGTAAACAATATCATTATCAAATCCTAAAAAATTATTGAAACCTGTTGACTATGTAGATATGTACGTGTAAAACATTTTAATTCTTTTACAAACCAGTGTTGGTTACTTGCGGTGTTTATATATATACAGGGTGTCCCAAGAAGTAGTATCAAGCGGAAGTCCCAAGATAGAACACCCCTTGGAGCATCCGAAACACCCCCATGTATGTTCTGCGATTATTTATAGTTTTCGAGTTACGAATTTTTTTCTAAAATTTTGAGAACTTTTGACCTAAACAACTAAAACGCTAATTTACAAAAGGTCATAAAACTTTTTCTAGATTTTTTATTCACAGCTTAACAAGCATGAGTTGTACATTAATAATTAAAACATTTGTCTTCGTAACCTTACCGGAAGTTAAAAATATGATGGTTCAAAGTGAAAACGTTACGAGCCGTGAACTGCGTCTTAAATTTTCAACTTTAATTTTAAAATATTAATAGGTAGCTTTGTAGCTCATAAGTTAGTTTAAAAACTGCGCCAGACTCTCAGCTTTCATTATGATTAAAAAAAAGGACTACGTAATACGCTACTTTTGCTAATACCGGACCTCAAAGGCAGATAGGTGTAAAAAGTAATAAATAGTCATTTGGTAACGAGATTGTTTTCCTTGCATTCTTGAAGTTAATTAGAAAATGATGACAAAGTAGATATCTAATGGGGAAACTAAATGAAACAAAAAAAAAATTGTAATACATTATTTATTATAAAAAGTTTTCAAAATGTCTCCCTTCCTGCTCAATACAAATTCTGCACCTCCTAAAAAAGTTTTCTTGTAACTGATCAAACGCATTTCTGTTATAATTTATTTTTTCCGCTGCGTGTCGCAATTTTAATCGCAATTCTTGTATGCTCTTTATTTCTCTAGCGTAGACCTGTTCTTTATACCCAGACAAAGAAGTCAATAGGGTTCAAATCTGGGGACCGCGGAGGCCATGCAATTGGCCCTCCTCGCCCGATCCACTTGTCTCCAAACCTTTGATTTAAATATTGTCGTACAATTCTGGCGTAATGACATGGAGCACCATCGTTTTGAAACATCATATTCTTCCGCGTTAACAGGTCTACGCCTTCTAGCAAATTATTTAGATCTTGTTTCAAAAAATCTGAGTACGTCTCGCCATTTAATCGATCAGGTAGTTCAAACAAACCAATCAGCTGTCCGTTTATTACGCCGGACCATATGTTCAAACCGAATTGTTCCTGGAAATTTGAAGCACGTGATAGGTGAGGATTTTCAATGCTCCAAGAATGGTAATTGTGAATGTTAAAAATCCCACACCTTTTAAAGTGAGATTCATCGGTCCACAAAATATTTTTGAAAAAGTTTTCATTTTCAGCTTGACGCCGCAGCATTACCTGACAGAAGGCCACTCTTTTCTTCTCTTTGCTCTTTGCCCTTGCTCTTTCTTTGCTGCACTCTTTGAATGTGATATGGGTGAAACCCCTCTTGCTGTAGTATTCGATGTGCCTGAGACTTTGACACTCCAATTCGACGTTCTAAGGTTCTTACACTAATTGATGAATCTGCCGCCACTTCTTCGAGGACTGATTCGACTGTATCTGGATCTCGAAGTTCACGTATACGTCCTGATCTTACGCCTGGTAGACGTCCTTCCATATAAGAATTATGAACTCTTAAAATCATTCGATGATCAGGCCAAGTTTCAGGCTGTGATCCACCTCCATTTTGTACTTCTTCCCTGTACAACCTGGCAGCTTCCGAAGCGTTTCCTCTGGCATAGCCGTAATAGTAATGCATAAGAGCATAATCTCTTGATGTAAAAGGCATGGTCTACTAAATTAATGAGCTCGATGATTCCGTTGAGAAAGCTTATCGTACGGCACAAAGGCAAGCAAACGACTGGATAGAAGTAGGCACAATACTATGCACGCTTTGCCCCCGCCTCACCCCTTTGTGGCCGCCCTGTAAACTAACTCAGGTAGTAAATTCTGACACTTGCATCTGGCTGTGCTATTGTTTTTTTACAAAAACCAGATGTTTGCCATTTAGCGCTCCCTCAGTAGATTTTAGTTAGTTAACAATCGAATTGTCTACAGAAATAATAAAATGTTTAAAAAGGTTTCAAATCATATTGCTAATTTTAAAAATTAACTTTAAGAATGCAAAGAAAACAATATCGTTGCCAAATGGCTATTTATTACATTTTTACACCTATTTGCCTTTGAGGTCCGGTATTAGCAAAAGTAGCGTATTACGTAGTCCTTTTTTTAATGATAATGAAAGCTGAGAGAGAACTTTTTATAATAAATATTGTATTACAGTTTTTTTTTTGTTTCATTTAGTTTCCCCATTAGATATCTACTTTGTCATCATTTTCTAATTAACTTCAAGAATGCAAGGAAAACAATCTCGTTACCAAATGACTATTTATTACTTTTTACACCTATCTGCCTTTGAGGTCCGGTATTAGCAAAAGTAGCGTATTACGTAGTCCTTTTTTTAATGATAATGAAAGCTGAGAGTCTGGCGCAGTTTTTAAACTAACTTATGAGCTACAAAGCTACCTATTAATATTTTAAAATTAAAGTTGAAAATATAAGACGCAGTTCACGGCTCGTAACTTTTTCACTTTGAACCATCATATTTTTAACTTCCGGTAAGGTTACGAAGACAAATGTTTTAATTATTAATGTACAACTCATGCTTGTTAAGCTGTGAATAAAAAATCTAGAAAAAGTCTTATGACCTTTTGTAAATTAGCGTTTTAGTTGTTTAGGTCAAAAGTTCTCAAAATTTTAGAAAAAAATTCGTAACTCGAAAACTATTAATAATCGCAGAACATACATGGGGGTGTTTCGGATGCTCCAAGGGGTGTTCTATCTTGGGACTTCCGCTTGACACTACTTCTTGGGACACCCTGTATATATATATGTATGTTTATTTGTACAAATAAATAAAGTTTTACAACAAGAGCCTCTGTAAAAGTTAAGGACACCTGTTTGTATTTTTTTATTGTAAAAGATGGCCAACCATTTACATTACAACTTGTTTGTAGCGCCCTACATGTAAAAAATACGGAAGGGAACAAAGAGTCGGTAATTTTATTGATATACCTGTTTATTTACGTATTGTTTAAGACTTTACGTACTAAGAAATACTACTAAAATCACTTCACTTCACTTGACTCTTTAACCGCTACAGAACTTGTACATACCTATCTAGTCATATTTCTTGTTTGTTGATTTAGTAAGATCTACATACTACATGCCGAGATGCCGAATTACCAAAAAATATTAACATTTAAATAATGTTCATCATAACTAAATAAACCCTTTGTTTTTCAACGCGTTCAAAATAAAGTTGAAAGCAAGGCCGTTCCAGCGGTTTGGGTCGGCGTCGCATAAAACTGGTAAATAATACAAACATACTTAGAGCATCGAATGAATTAAAAATAAGCAAAATAATTATGAAAAAATGCCTTTTATTTTGTCCCTTTTTTAAAATATTATCTTGCATAATTTTATAAAAAAACAAATGAAGCCGTTTGAGGCAGAGTAGCCTAACTGCTAATTTATGACTTGAGTAATTTATATTTTCATAGTCTAAAACTCTTAATCTACAAGAGCACAGTGACCGAAAATAGTTAACAAAATTTTTACAGAAATAATAGTACAAATTCAATTTCGCCTAAAATAATTGCGCATTTTTACTTTCCTCCTTATTGAAAATCATGTTTTTAATTATTAGGCCACTCTGCCTCTAGCAGCCTCGAATATCAAACGATGTATTAAAGTAACAGTAATTCAAAACTTAAACTTACAATTAAACATTAAGATCTTTTGCTGTTCCACATAAAGTATTCGTAGCAATTCCTTGATAAGAGGTTATCAGTGACAGCTTTTTATTATTATTCTCCAACTCATTGGACAAAGGCTACTGACCCGAATATTTATGACAATGACAAGCTTTAATATATAATACGACATTTTATAAGTTATCCTTGTATGCGGCCCTAGCCCTTTAAACTATAAATATCCCACACCAACGCATAGAACCTGTAAATTTCTCTTTCGTGTCATTATCGACGGTAAAAACTTTAAAGAACTTGTTAAGTCAGTCGGGCGTCATATTTTTGTCTTCCAGGTAGATGTAAAAAAATATTCGTGGTATAAAATGTTTACGAACGTTTTTTTTTATTCTTATTGTTGTACGTTGCGCATTTTTTTTGTAAATGTTCAAGACAATACTCCGAAAAGAATATTTGCATAGTAAAAGGTACCTTGCTAAGACTAGACGCACTCGTAGATAAAACAGCTGCACTTCGTTCCAAATGTGAAGCAACACGAAAACCAAGCCTCGAAAGCGGGAACGCCATTTTAACACAAAACTTTTATAACATTCACTCACAATTTATTATTACTTGATATTAAAATGCGTTTGAATACTTAATTTATTTTAAAATCTGCGGTTGACTGCCGTAACCAACCGCACAACAGATTACTTTAAAATGCTTGTGTGCAGCCGAAGAGTTTTATTAAACCTTCGAGGGAGAGGGGCGGGAGAACTTAATACATGCGCACGAGCAGGCAGATACTTCTACCAATTAGACCCTGATACTTATCTATCACATAGGCAAAGTACCTGCTTTGCAGTGAAAAAGGCCTAGATAAATGTATACGTATAACCCAAGGGTTTGTTGTAGGCCTTCATTACCATCTGTGCATTCTACAATAATTGTTTTACAGTTCTATTTAAATTTAGAGTTTCTTATTTATTTAAACAGAAACAATAGGTACTTTACATTTGTATTTGTACTTCGTTATTACAAGTAATCACTTACTTATTAAATTAGATTATATTATGATGCCCAATTCACAGTAAAAGCCATTAACATCAAACATATTTATACTATCTGTGTCCGCGACTTCGTCCGCAAGAATCGTTATTTTGGGCATTCAAATGCGTTCTTGCAAACCCCTTCATTTTTTAAAACTCAAGTTGTTACCCACGATGTTAATCTTAAAAGATAGAAGTATCGCGTGGCGGACTTTTTTTTAGGCCAATTAAAGGGAAATCATTCTTTAATACATATTTTTTGGGCGTCTTGAACCGTTTTTGCTGCGTACGCCTCGGAAACCCATAATGATGAATAATTTTCAATTTTTTTTCCCATTACCCGCTGTATCTTCGCTTGTATTAGTCACAGTGAGATGTTTTATAGCCTATAGGCTTCCTCGATAATAGCTCTAACCAACACAAAAATAATGTTTCAATTCGAACTCGTAGTTCCTGGTATTAGCGCTTTCAAACAAACAAAATATAACTTATAAGCTTTATATATTAGTATAGATTTATTATGGTAATTTGTACGTTATGTAGCAATCATTTCAGAAATTTCACAAACACATCATGCTTCTCACCCAAAAATGTTAGGTACGGAACCCGTTAGTATAAATCGAGAGACATCACTACCGGTAAACATTTATTGCGTATCCAGACCCTTGCTGTTATGTTTCATTCATTATTTCAAAATTAGTTTTATGGTCCCGAACCTATTTATAGCGAAAAAAAAAGGTGGGCGACAAGTGAGAGGTGTTGATTGTCACGTAGGCATATAGATGCGTTGAATTTGGTAAGTGCAATTAAGGTTAACTCTATAGATAAATTTATTACCAGATATAGTTTAAACAAATAGCAACAAGTTTCCTTATTTTTACTAATGCGTATGATTAGACATGTTTGTAGACACGTACTCTTTTTCTGTTTACAAACAAATCAAGGTCTGTTGTTTAACAGCTGTTGCCCGACGAGTTATCAATAATATAGGTTGTTTTTATTGATAAACCGTTTTTTTGTTATGTCTATGTTTTGTGGTGTTTTTTTATCTCGCCCATAGCGACGGCTTTAGTAAAAGCATTTGATACTCTTTAAAGCAAAAATCACTGCACTGGTACGTCTTTCAGAGGGGCGAAGAAAGTAAATGCCTTTAGAATTTAATTTAAGTGACTTACTAGTAATTCAGCTATCATTAAAACATAGTTTGAGTAACTAATGCACACTTCACAAAATGACATGATATACAACTTTAATTTTTTTTAAAAACAGCAGAGCAAATAATATAAAACAAGGAAGGTATGTTTTGAAGAAATAAAATTATTTTAAATAAAAACCAGTTTATTAATAAAGTAAATATAAAATAGATACAGTACTAAACCTAACTAAAACATTGTGTACCTAAGTTAAAAATATATTTAATTGATTTTGAAGTTATTCCCCCGATGCTGTATTTAGATTCAGAAATATATTTCACAGAGTAACATGAAACAGCTAGATTTTTCCACATGTAAAAAAACGTTATTGCTATATTTCGTGAGGTGCTTCTTTAAAGTGTCTAACAAATATAGGGAACATGATATTTTGAAATAAAAACAACACACTTAGACCATTTAGTCGACTTAACATTTAAAAATAACCTTTAAATTTCATTAGTTCATTATGTTAAGCCATCCATAAGTAAAAATTGCTTCTTAGGATGTTTAGCTTTCAAGTCTGACTTAAAAAAAATAAAATACATCTTAAAACAATAGTGTGTGAAATACACTTCTGGTTATATTAAACTTGAAACAAAAAAATGTATAATATTTCATTTCATATAATAAAAACTTGCAATAATAAGTGTATATACCTATATCTATATTTTTACATGTTACCCTAAGCCTTTTTATATTCAATTCTTTCGACTTTAACTTCGTCTCCAAGCAGTTTATAAACATATGTTACTACGGTTGAGCTAGTGATATCCATAAGCACAAATGATGGTGTTGCATTTCTGAAACAAATATACCGGTTATTCTTGACATTATTGTGATTGAACAGCAGTTCAATTTTTATTTAGTAACATTAAAAATTTCAAGTCTTAAATACTGTTTGTAGCTTACGTGAGTAATACACAAACAACCGTGGTCACAGGGCGATTAAAGATGGAGGGTGTGTCTGACGTCAAAGTAAAAAACTGCTAAGCATCCGAAATCTGGGGCCGTAATTAAAATAATTAACTAATATCGCGTTTTGAAATGTTAGTGTTTTATTTGAATTCAAAGGTTCAAAAAAATTAGTAACAAAAAAAAGATAATATATCTCTATAGACCTAGAAATACATACTTAACTTAATGACTAATGGCACCTTAAACTGAGGGTAACATACATATATTCCATGTTAACAGCGAGTTAATGTTGTTGGCACACCTTAATTTTGTGGCATTTCATCAACAACCTCATATTTCTCCCTCCTCGCTGCAATAGGAAAAAATAAAATGTGATCTTACCTGAACAAAGGATTATAGGCACCAGTAGCAGAACCAGGGTTAATATAAAATTTGTTCTCGTGTTCATAGGCTTCAAACCTATGAGTATGGCCAGAGATAAGTATATCCACATCAAGCTGACGCTGTATCAATGCTAAAGATTCTTCGTCACCCCAGGGAACTACTTGGTGCCCATGAATCAAACCAATCCGGAACTGTCCAACTGTTATTACTTTTTGTTCAGGATATATTGTGTTCTGAAATATGAAATTTGTACTCAAACAAAATTGTCTATGATGTATTAAAATCACTATTGTTCACTAATATAGGTATAGAGTGTCTATATCTAAAAGCTTGATAAATGAAATGGAACATATTTGTAATACTTTTATAACACAGGAAGATAGACAAGCATAACATTCACCTTACGGAAGTATTTAGCAACCTAATTAGGATATACTGTATACCTATTTTTTCTTACTTTATTTATAATTCCTATACATTTGAATACTGAATGGATAATTTAAAGAAAGTAAATATAGCTTACACATTCATTTTGTTGTAATGAAAAAACAAGTCCCACTATTAATATATGTATTTGAATATTACAGTTGGCTAAAGTTTATATTACTATGAGTAAAAATATAAATAAAACATAGAAAGCAACACTAAAATAAAATTTTTACCAGGCTCCAGATGAAGTTGTTATAAAAATCTAAATGGCTTAGTCTAAACTTGATAAGTGCCAAAACTTACATCATCAAAGTCTCCCCTGACGACATGAACATCACTGGCCAAAGTTTTTAAATAATCATATGATTCTTTAGTACAAAGGTTTCCAGTACATAAGATATGCTGTATCCGACCAGGTAGCAAAAGTTTCTTGAATTTTGCTGGTAAACTACTGCACCGGTGAGGAATGTGAAGATCTCCAAGTACTAACACCAACTGAAAATAAAAGTTAAAAGCTTTGAATTTACTAATAAGTAAATAATTATTAAAGTAAAGAATACTTATAGATAATGAAGCAGCAGTAGAATGGTTGTTTTATTAAACTTACCATTATGTATAACAACTTGTAGCGATATTACAGCAATATATATAAATATATACTTTTGTTTGGTTTGAAAATAAAATTTCAGCTAATTTCAATGAGTTAACTCCCCCTTAAAAATGTTTTAGTAAACTACTCTTATATTCGTCACATACATATTGGAATACTATATTGTTTTTTTAGTAAAGAGTAATTTTCTAGTAGTAATTATTTTATCGTAAGGAAGATACCTGAAAACTACTTAAAGAAGGATGTTCTAATTGAAATCGGCTGCTAACAATTAATATAAATTAATATTTTGATCTTTATTTGACACTTTACATAGACTGTCACAATTTATATTATACGTAATGTGCGACAGCAACAGAATAGATAACTAAAAGATTTATAATGTTTGATCGGTAAAATATTGTGTTAAAATTGTCCTCACTTCTCGTGTGCGTTTGTCCTATTTTTTATTTATTATATTTTTAAGTATTTACGATACATCCTTAGAAAGAATATGTTGGTGTTTACTAATAATCTTCATACAGATTGTATGAAGATCTCATATATATAAATATGTGGCAAAATATCGTAAATATCTTTAAAAAAATTTAAGAATTTAATTTGTTTTTTTGTAATATTTTATGGTTTAATTTGTTACTCTATAAGCCATAGAGAAAACGATAAATGTTTTTAATATTTTGCACTTGACAACACAAACTCACTCACGTCACTTCTCTCTTTTCTCTCTGATCTAGAAATAATTTCATGGTGTTGTAGTTAACACACAAAATACGTAGAAAATTTTAGTGTAAGAAACACATTGGCACCAACTGTTGGGAAATGGAATCAATGGAATATGAGCTCGCTAGAAATCTCACTCTATTGTTCTTCGTGGAGCGCCTGCTCGATAAAGGCGAGCCGAGAACGTTGCACGATCTTTCCTGTCAGTTTGGTGCCAAGGGATTTACAAAGGAGATGCGTCAGATAGCAGGCGGGTCGCAATCGGGCCTTAAAAAGTTCCTCACCCAATATCCAGCGTTGTTCAACATAGACGGGGACTATGTTGATATTAACACGTTTCAAAGGTGCCCCGCCGGCGCTGGCGCATCATCCAACAACGATTACATCGAAGAAGCCAAGGAGTACTTTGCGGGAAAAATGGTGCAATATGGCGAAGGAACTGAGGTGCCGATAAAGAGTCTCTTGGGCCACAGGAGCCAGGCCTCGCCTCAGGTACGACACATCTCCGGGCAACGCATCAAGGAATTCAAAGAGTTTCTCTTGAAGCACCCTGATACATTTCAAATAATCGACGATAATGTTGTTCTAGTCAGTGATAATCATAGAAGAAAGCACATAATAATAATGAACAATTCCACAATTTGCCTGTTGCTAACATAAATACAGATACAGCGCAACAATTATTAGATTATGTAGCTCAATGTATTGAAGCAAAGGGACCTGTAATGGTGGATCAGCTTTTCCACTTGATTGTATCTAGATTCCCTCAAGAGTATTGGTACCAGATGTTTAAAACACCAGCTGATTTGAGTGCTTTCTTAAAATTGTTCTCAGACAGTTTTCATGTACAATCAAATCTTGTTACATTGATTAGTAAACCAAAAATACCTGTAATGTATCTCAATGCAAAACCTAAAGCAAAGACTGAATCACCAAAGCCTGTCGATGAACCTACAGAACAACCAGCTTCACCAGTCCCTCCTATTGTGCTAAGCCCCACACCTTCTGATGGTAAGAAAAGTCCAGCAAACAGAATACTCAGTCCTGTAGAATCTCCCCGTGTCACTCAGGCGAATATTGCTAACCAGACATTAAAGCAAAGAATAAATTCTATAGTAATTAAAAATTTGGCAGAAAATATGGTTCGAGACAGGGTTAATAATCATTTAAATGCTCGTTGCTCTGAAGAAATGAATGGCACAACTGTCCGAAACAACTTTATGGGGGAAGCATGGAGGCAAAAGGTGCTACAAAGTACAACGGTCCTAGCGAGCGCAAGAGAATGTGCAACTCTTATAGACAGTATAATGAACCCTAAACGCACTGGTAAATGTATAGTTTCATTTGATTGTGAAGGAATAAACTTGGGCCTTAAAGGTATTTTAACACTATGCCAAATTGCTACAATGAATGGCGAAGTATATATTTTAGATATCATGGCTTGTCCCAATATGATTATTGAAGGCAAAATAAAAGATTTGTTGGAAAGTGAAAATGTCACGAAAATTATCCATGACTGCAGGAATGATTCTGTAAATCTTCTTAATCAGTTTGATATAACTTTGAAAAATGTATTTGATACACAGGCGGCTCATGCTGTACTGCAATTGCAACAACAGAATGTCCCTGTCTATAAAGTAAAGAATTTAAGTCTCAATGCTCTTTGTGAGTTATATAATGCACCTGTAAATCCTATGAAGGAGCAACTTAAAAATGTTTACAGAAGGGACCAAAGGTACTGGGCTAGAAGACCGCTCACAAAGGATATGATAATATATGCTGCATCTGATGTATTATCACTGGTGAATCCAGCAATTTATGGCCACATGTCTAATAGCATCAAGCCAGAAAATCAACAACTATTTGAGGAGCTCAGCTTTGAACAAGTTTTTATGCACATCCAAACAACTGAGGTTAAACTAAGGAAAAGACAAAGAAAAATCAACACAGAAGTTTGTGAGCTAAAGCAAAAGTTGGCTGAGACAACAAAGAATGTGGTTTTGAGTAATCGAGAAATAAGGCTCTTGAGATATTTAGAACTAACAGAGGAAGAAAAGGAAAAGCTAAAAGGCTGTCACAAGATATCAAAAAAATTAGAGAAGTTAGAAGCTATTGGACAAGATAAGGACAGTGACAGTGATGATGATGAGAAAGAAAATGAAATGCAAAGCTTAGAATCCAACCCATCTGATTCCATTTCTTCCCCTCACTCTACTCAGCCTCCTAGCCTTACAGAATCTATGCAAATGATGGATGAAATTCTATCAGATGTAAATATGGATAAAGTAGAAAAGATAAACCGCCTAGAAGCAATTTTATCAGCTGTTGCACCATTAAGTGGTGAATTAGAAGATAAGTTCTCTCAAACCATGGAACAGACTTTACCTCTGCTCAAGAACAAGGATTGGTCCAACCTTAGCCAAATTTTAAACATAAGCAACGATGGAAAAAACTGTACTTGTAACTGTCATAATTCAAGCAATAATCAGTGCAATAACGTCGAGGAGGTGAAGAAGGCAGAAGTTGGATCACAAACTCTTAGCACAGGAGACATCGTGATAACGAGAATTCATTTCAGAGAAGAAGATAAATTGAACGAAAGAATTATTGATGCCACACCGTTTAGCAAGAGAGCAGGTATAAACATGTCTTGATCTTTTTGCTATCAACCTTCCATTTTCTAAGTGCCACTGCTAATTTCGATACTCCCTTTTTGTGATCGATTCATAATATACGTAGTGTGTAAGATGTGACCGCTTCGTCGGTTTTGCGTTTAGTTTAACGGGGATATGGTGTTTTTGTCTGAGATTGTATAAATTATGCATTGATGAGAGTATGGCCGCCTACGCCGTGTTCATTTGAGCGAAGACGTGCGTGTACACTCGAATAGATGCAACGGTTTTTCGCATAATATAGCAATATAATTCCTACGTTTGGAATTGTCGATATCTGTTGTGTATTTTATTAGGCTTTGCATAGTTAGCAAATCGAACTTGTATGTGATAGAATTTGGCCTTGGTTTCTTCTCGATCTGTTTTGAATTGTAAATAAGATAACTAAGATAAATCATTTTAATCTAATCTTGTGAAATCAAAATGGTTCGTAGTACCTCTTGTGCGCTGGAGAGTACTGAACGGTTTGAACCAATGTATCACCTCAATTTTCTCACTAAACATTCTAAATGGCAATAATAATTTATACAGTAAGGTTTTATTGTTCAAATATATATCTAAAATTGTAGGTTTACATTTAATATAAGATGAAATACGTACTTGTTAAGAATAACATACATATTATAAAATCTGGTGCTTGGAGAAAATAAAAAAAAATTGATCAAGGTTTTTTTGGTACTTTAGATAGATAGATAATAATGAATTGAAGTCTTGTACTTTTTTCAGATAAACACCAAATTTTGTGCCTTTTAATCATATCTAACGATTTGTATTATTTATTGGACAGTTAAATGTCTGTCTATTTGTTTACATTTAATGAAATGCGGGTACCCACTACACGCGATAAAACTATTGTATTTAAAACAGCGTGCATCGAGAGTAGTTCTAAGCATGTTGAATTCTTTCGAATAGTTTATTTTTGTGTTATACAAAGTAAAGATTAGTGATATTTTATAATACGCTTTAATTACTAGTGTGTGTATTTATTAGTCTGTCTAGAAAAACACATCAGTATTCTGATCTTTATTTCCATTTGTATCATGTAGTATTTATATTTTGTTATTTACACCCTTTTGGCTATTAACATTATAATAGTGCCTTACAGCGAGCACGCTATAGGAGTTTACACATCAAAATTTAAACGTGCCACTGTTATTATTTTTATAAGTAGCATTTGTTTAGTCAAATTAAGGTTATAACCTATCCTAATAAATAAGTTAAACCTGAATTGCTAACTTATGAAGGTTTATTTAACAAGTTGTATGTTTAATTTGAATAAAGTTTTAAAAAATATTGCCTTTTATTTATTAAAAAAACGAATGCAAAACCTCTATTCCGTATGTATTTAATGTATGCATTCACCTTTAAAATTTATTATTTTGACCTAGATCGATGATATGTGTAGCTTAGGTAATTCAGTATTAAACCTTTAAATCGTCTGGCACTGCTTAGGTTTCATACTTATAGTGCTTATAGTATTAATCTGAAATAAAAGGTTTGTCTACGAACCTGAAATAAAATTAACTCTGTAACATTCAGTTGTATTTTTATTCATTGATTTTCGCCAATACGAAGCTGTAAATCTTGATACTGTGTAGGTGCCTACCATTTAAGAATTTTGTAATTAATTTTGCGAAGAAGTCCGACAGAAAGACAAAAAATACGCTATTTTATTTAACTATGTAAAAAAGGGTTTTTGTATCTTGACTGAAAATTTATTTCAATACATAAAATTAATCTCTTCCACAAAAGCAATATCGTCCGTATGTATTAGGTAGGTGTGTGATTTTAATAATCCAATGATGTGTTCATTATATCCACTAGACTTAGTGAGTTAGCCATGTGAAAGTTTTCTGTAAAACTAATTAACTATTATAATATTATTATTGTGGGTAGGTACGCTGAAGTATATCGCACGCCTTTTGCATAATAATAGTGAAAATGTATTGTAGTAACGTGACTGTAATACTTAATCTTCTCCAGTAGATTATGCCTAACATTACTTTTCCATTGCATATTAAAAATCACACGCTTATGCTTGTCTTATTATAGACATTCGTATAACACCTAAGTTTTAAAAATGCTAATAAAACCTACATCGTTAATAAAACCATATAAAAGTAGGTATATGTTATTCCATTACGATCGTTGAGAATTTTTTTTTTCTCTGCCTCTAATATTTGTATTATCTTAATAATTTAGGCTTATGCGTTATAATATAATGTACAACGACATAATACTCAGATGTTCTTTTTAATACATATTATTTTCTTACATATATATATCATCATCTTATTATATATCATGTTCTTATAATCATATTTAATGGATTGACATTGACATATGACATAGTAAATTTAAAATAGGTATAACCGCCACTTACTCTTCATTTAAAAGTTAATTGATATAATTATTAATATCAACTTTTTACGTATTATTGATTGCTCTTAAAAGATATATGTTTAGAATTTCTAAAAAAGAAATTGTATTTTTTAAATTGCAATTAGGTATACACAGTGTACTCTTTGCATCTTTATGTGTTTAAAAGTCCCATAGAAAGATTATGGAAGATTTTGATATTTTTACCGACGAGATAAATTTTATGAAACCTGTATACACAAACATTCTACATGACTTCGTGAAGGATGTACCAGCTACACCTAGCAGTGCAAATTACCAAAGTAATGTATTACTCAACTTATAGTCCTTTCAAAAATAATAATTTTCTGTTCAAAACATTTTACATTTTTATACATTAATAATTAAGTATTTTATCCCTTAATCAACTTTGTTTGTTGTAATGATGGAGTGCTAAAAATTTATCTAAATTCCTTCACTATATTCACCATAATCTTATATTCATATTTTTTTCTTGCTTTAATATACATATACATATATAGTTCATTTTATTAATAATGTTCTTATTTATTTTTCTATTATATTATTATACTATACTTTTAGGTGCTCAGAGACTTTTGGCTGAGGAATGCTTACTAGAAAATAAAGAAGAATGCGAATTTCATTTCAGTGAATCCGTGTCTGCAGCTGTTAGAAGTTTAGCTGTGTATAGGGAGGACCAACATGAGATTACAGGTATTTACAATCATCAGTTATTTTATTTAATAATTTAAATGTAATTTTAAGAAGTGAAAGAGATAGATCTCTGTTTCACTGTTCTATTTCTATTAAAAATACTAATTTACTTTTATAATGCTTTTGCGGACTGATGAAATTTCTAAGAGATAGAAGATAGAAAGATGATATCTCCTGTCCTGTATAAGTTGTAAATTTCTACTTACTATTATTATTATGCTAGTATTTTATGTTGTTTATTATTAAAGCATAATTTTCTTTTTAGGAGCAGATAAAATTAAGTTGATTGCACCTTTTACAAATATATGTGATAGAGTAGAAACTAAATCTTTGTAAGTAACTTTTGCTTTCAAAAGTCTATGTTTAACCTTATTATCTGAATTCTATGCACAACCAGAATGGCTAGACAAATTTCAAAAGGAATTATTGTAATAAAGTTGCATATTGGACTAATATGTTCTTAGTCTGATAATAAATTAGTTATACTAAGGAGAAAAGTTGGGTTTTTTTCTTACAAGTTTGTTGGAAAAACTTGTAAGAAAAAAAAGCATTAATAATTAATACTTTTTACAGAGATAAAGAAGATGATCTTTTAAATACCATTTTATCTGAAGGCGTTAAGACATTAAAGCTGAGAAGTAATGAAGAAATTCCATTTCATAAAAAATACATGAGGTTTGGACCGCACAATAATGTTAAGAATTTATTGAAGATTCTTAATGAGTTACCTAAAGGTTTGTGTAAAAATTGATTTAGTAGACACAAATGTTTATCTGTATATCAACATGGTAAATTAAAAAAAGAAAAAGCAAGATGTATATGACATTCTCTTAGGTAAACATTTCTTTTATATCAAAACCAAAACCTTCATTGGTTCAGTCCCTTATTTAGTGACACAACATGATTTAAAAATTAGACTTTCATTCATAAATAATATTTATATTAATTCTTCATATTGACTTGTTTTACCCTCGTTCTTGAGTAAGAAAAGGATTTGTCTTAGTTTTGGTACAAATTCATTAGATAAGTCTTCATGTTTATAATATATAAAGTGGTACAAGCCATACCAACTCCAGCTACTCACCATAGTAAATAGCAGATTTAAACTCAGCTGTAAACAGAGGCTACCTTGTTAAAATGGTGAAGAATCAAGAATTAAATGTATTATTATTTCAGAATGGACAATAGTACAGTTAACAGCCCGTTATAATCCGAAAGAGAATGTGAAGCCTTTTAGTGAATATAGGACTGATATAGATGGTATTTTCTTGTCTATACTTACTAATAATTACACGGACAAACCATTAACTGTTCTGGTACCAGCAAATGTGACCAAAGGTTTGTATCTGCATGTAATCATGATTAACTTTTTGCTTCAAGTTTGTATAAGATAAAAACAATTTCTGCATTAGAAGACCGCCTCTGTAGCCATACGGTTAAACGTATTGCCTAGCATTGCGTTACGAGTGTTTCTGGGTTTGAATCCCAGGGAAACATAAAATTGTTTCGGTCGGGCAGGGCACTGAAGTCTGCTCAACTACTTGCCCGTTAAAAAAATGCATAGAAAAGTGTTTGCTAAAGCCTAAAGGATCATTTCCTTAAGTTATTTTTGCGTTATTGTTTTTCTCTTAATGCATACATAGACAAGATGGTAGCTTGCTAGTTATCTTGTATATTTATTAAATAAACTTAGTTAATTAGATGTTATGTAAACTTAAGGTAGGATCAGTTTAAACCTTAGTGTTTCTTACTACTATCAGTATGTAAATAAATGTAATTGTTTTGTTGATATAAAAAAAAAGAAATGTGTTTACCCCTAGCCCCACGAAGGGGAAACAGGCTTTCATTTTTTCTTATTACTGTGTCAGGTTTTATATTAAATTGCTGGCATCATTTATATCTACCGGACCAAACAAAATATATTTTTACTGTACATATCCTAAAAAAAAATTATATAACAAGTATCTTAGTTAAAATAAGATGTCTCTAGATATAATCTAATCATATTTCTCTGTTTGCATTATTTACTAGACTAATACATTTTTAATATGATAATAGTAAATTAAACACATATAACTTGTAATTTGCAGAAGGAGAGCTGCCACTATTCAAGGAGCTCTATTCCATATTAGAAGATAATTATAACATTATAGATAAAGCTCAGTATCTTAATAACAAAAGGCTTATTAGGAACTATTGGAGTAGACGAGAGGACATTGACCTCAGAATAAAGGTTTGTTTGATTTAACCCCAAATGATAGAATACTATCTAAGGCTTGTTTATCTAATGGTAGCAATGTATTGCTAATAATCAACAGGTTTGATCCCCACCTGGAACCGTCCACCTGGACCTTTATTGAATCTGAACCTGGATCATATGAAATTCTAGACTTTAAACAGGGGTAGGAATATCAAAATTCTTTCCGGGTTACGAACCACTGCTCGAAAGCCAATTAGGTAGAAAGCGCACCATGTTATTATTATGTCGGGGTAAATCACCAACCATGAAAGCAATGCTTGGAAAAAAGAAAATTTAAAGATCCTCGTATGAAGGTCAAGGATCACACGTTTTGCCTAGCTTACCGCAAATATCCTGAATTCGAATTCTGGGAAAAAATATTGTTTTTTTAAAAACAATATTTTGTTAAAAATATAATTTGTTAAAAAACATTGTTGCGTATGGGCACGGTACAGAACTCTGATTTAAATTAATATCAATTTTCAGAGCGTTATTAACGTTATGGATAAAGATTGGCTCGGTGGATGGTGCAGTATGTTAACTGGAAAGCTGAGTGATTCTAAATTAAGAGACAGAATCATACATTTTGTAGATTCTGCTATATCTGATTGGGGGTAAGGTTTATTGTTATTATTTTATTTTACTTCTTTCGTGGCAGAAAGCCGATTCAACATACTCATAATCATAAAAATAAACATACTGTTTTTGTAATCTTTCTTTTTTATTTTAAACGTTATCACTTTAAATAGAACTGACAGTTTACTTTCAGACAGACAATTACTTACCTGTTGAGAGCTTTACCCTCATTTTACAACTACCCTAAAAAAATCGAAAAATTGATTTAATAACATTACGTTTTAATAACATTACAGATTTATTAAACTAACGGCAAAACAGAAAATCCTTCTATATAACTTAATGGATTGCAGTCCAGTACTACAATCGCAGCAAATAAAGTCCTGCATTCGGCAAATACTGACTGAAAATGGCAACAATGAGGAGCTAAGAAACGTTCGAAATTCAATTAAATGTCAAAGCTGCTCGAACGAATTTCGCTTTCCGAACGAATTGTGCATAAAGTGTTTATCACAATGTTTCGAGGAGATACATAAGTTCACTTTGGTGGATGGTATAAAGGCGTTCTCGCAAGTTGCTTTGAAGTTTAAGGACGATGATCAATGGGCAGATTTAAAGAAGGCGAAGCGCGGCCCTGTAATTATAATCGTGGATGAGGTAATCCATATTTTACTAAACTAAGTCGTTCTATGTTAAGTAAAAAGCCTTCATAATCACAAAAAATCCGTCGTGTGAATAATACTTGTCCAAATGGACAAGTTATTTTTTTGGCCTTATTGTTATTAACAGTTGTATGTTTAAAAATATAACTTAAGACTTCAAGTTAAGTGTGTGTAAATAAAAATTAATTACAAATTGAAAAAATCACAACGCGGGCAGGACTTGAACCGGCATCCATAGCGTTACGTGCACTAAAACATGCCTTGCTGTATTTGCAACTCATACCTTCAATCCAGTACTGTAGTCAAAATAGATCAACAGCACATCTTGTCAAATGTATTTCACCTTTCATCAAAATCCCTTGCTCGTTTCCCCTCCTCTATCATAAAAAAGTACTTTTAACTTAACTATTTTTAACGTAACTTAACAGGTTTGAATAGTAAATTTTTGACATGACAAATTTTAGATGTTAGACACCTTTCCCTGGGAGTCTCTGCCAGCACTGAACCAGCAACCCATCAGTCGTATAGAGAACATTCACTTCCTTTACTCACTGTTCAAAACGCATGAAGAAAGCATTAAGAATGGATACTTCGTCACCAAGTCGGAAATTGGGCGATATGTTATCAATCCGGGTAACTCTGTCTTAATTAAATTATTTCTTCTGTTTCTGTACCAATATAGTATTATATCTACACGTACTGTACTGTAGTCTTCACGAGTAGTAAACGTTTACACTTTAACGGTTTAAAACGCGTAATATATTATTTTTAAATTATTTTAACCCGACGTTTTTGATGCTTTAAAGCAGCCGTGGTCGCGGGGAGACCCGTTAAATTGTTTTATTAAAATTTCTTCAGGTATAAACCAGCAAAATACTTGTGTTATAGGCCAAGATCTACAGCGTATGCAGCTGCGTATGGAGTCATTTATCAAATATTGGTGCGGGAAGTGGGAGGGGCGAGTCGCTGAACCTCCGGCTCCAGGCGAACTACTAAATTATTTAACAGAAGCCGACATATTTTTGTAAGTTATATTAAACAGGTCTAATAATCAATTACATGCCAAAGTATACTTTTCAAATATATATATACGTCCAAGAGACACGAGTGTGATCACCCTAAAGGCAGCTGCTGCCTAATTCTTATTAACAATAATAATCCAAACTGGTAAAGAAAACGCCGAGTGGTTTATGAATATCAGTTTCAGTACCTCCATACAGTCTATAAAACCTCTTCAAAATTCCCCTGCATCAATCCAGGGGGGTATCTATCTGGGAAACTGATTGCATTTCCTTTTCAATTATTATTAAGGTTGAAATTACATTGGCCGCGAGGTGTATGTATCAATAGGTTGAAAAAATTCGACGATGTGAAGGACGTACCTCGATTGGTTTGAGTAATTTATAACACTTATGTTTTGTCCTTCCATTCGTAATATTTTACTAAAATCTATTCTTAATTTAATACTATTTTTAATATATTCACCGCAATATAGGCAATTTATCAGAGTCTATAATTTACCAAATCAAAAGTCAGCATTTGATGTATCCGTGGGTATTATTTGTTTGCATTATCTATGGTCATGTTGTAGGTACTGTGGACATGGAGATGGCTGCGGGTCTGTGTGTGTGGGTAGCGGAATTGGTGCGGGAGCGGGGAGGTGCGTGTGCCTGCTGTCGGGTTGCGGGTCTGTCCGGCTCAGCGGAGGTGAGGGTCGAGCACCACCAGCCGGGCCCCATCACCACTTACATGTCGCTAAATGGTAAAACTACCTTTTATCTAAGTTAGTTCTTAATCTCCCATCAGTAATTAATTTCGTCAGAGTTAAAAATAATTTATTCGCGTTGGTAACTACCACCTTAACGCCAAACCATTAATTTATTCACATGCACATGATGACACTATATAAATTAAAAATCGATTTCAGAAACCTCTTGTTTCAGACTAATAATAAATCATTAACACAACATCAGGCCTTTTAAATAGTTCAAATTAAAGTTAGCAAAATGTCCTCAGTTAGGACTTTAGAACTTAGGACTAATGTCCTAAGTTCCAAACATTTAAGCTCATAATATAGACCAAATGTGTTTACAGTCCTTGCGTGGTCGGCATGCTCTGGGAGGTGACTGATCTCGAAGTCGACAAAGTGGTGAGCACTCTGGTGGCACTATCCGTAGCCAGCGAAGCCCCACTCGATTGGCGTCATGTTGGCAAGACTAAATGGAGCCAGGGGGAAATAGGTACTTTATTTCTTTTCATTAATTCTTTTCCATGTTGGATTTCATCTGGAAACCTGGTTAATAAGCCAAAATAGCGCACCTTGTTTAGATTTCGTATGGATAGGGTATTTGACCTACTATTAAGTGACCCCATGCCATTGTCAGTCAATAAATTGTTTCGGTCCGGCTCAGTACAAAATTCTGATTCGAAAAAGATTAGTCTACCCAACATATACATTTTTTCCCCACCATATAAAAGATATGTTTGCAACTTTTCTCAACGAAAATAAAAAAAATGTTTTGTTCGCATATTTTAATAATACAAATTAACAAAAGACTAGAACTCTTATTTTATACAAAATTGCGTACGCATTAATTATTTAGCCCATTGTGTAGTTTTTTTCTTTATTATTCGCACGTTAATAATATATGAAGCAAGAGCTAATGTAGATTTGCTATATTCGTTTGCATCAACTGTCTTAATAATTCAATTAGGAAATTGCAGTAAATATTGTATTATTCAAGATTTTTTATGCTATTTTTTTTCATATTTAGATGTGAGCGTAGAACAGAAACCTCGGACCCCACCTGAAAGGAACTTACTACGTGCAATATGCAGGGCGAAACAGGCCACAAATTTCCTCATGATCTCTACAAGCATTGTCGCTAGAGGATTGCCAATCAAAATAATTGACTCAAATCCGCCTAATTCAAGTGTTTAGGTATAAGTAAATAAATATTTTATCAGTCCGATTTTGGTATTGCCTCCCTATTTGGTAATTTTCCCTTTTCCACCTCCTTCTTTATCATGATTCAGAAATTTTGGTGGCTAACATTCCCCAATTCTCCATACATAACTTGTTATACAACTTCACTGGAGACTTCACTTTATGCGGCAGTTTTGTTTCAAAGAACTGAAAAAGTAATAAATGAATTACTATTGTAGTGTAGCCATTATTAGTATACATACTTAGTACATATATGATACATCAAGTGTATTCTAGTGTAAGTTATTGTTAAGTAGTTAGTCTTAATTAAAACCTTATAGTGACAACATGTCTTTTATTGGTATACCGGGACCAAACCAACACACTATTTAAATTAATATGACTTGGGTATGTTGAAATCTATTGAATAATTCAAAAATATATGGCTCAAGAGGTAATGAGTGTGAATCTCAGGGATACATTATACAATAACAAACTAAAAATCGATTTTAGATTGAAGAAATTACGTCACGGGCAGGACTTGAACCGACATTCACAACATTCCGTGCTATTGCTCTAACCAATTGACTTGGTAGCTGAAATTTTTCATTTTTAATCGATTTTTAATTTATATAAATATTATGATAAAGTTTTTCCAAATCAATAACATTTTCTATGAGGTAGGCTACAGAAATCTAATTTAAAAAATATCTGTAAAAAAGTCAACCAGCAAACCGTCTACTTACTCTAGTCACGGCTTTACAATCCTTCCATAAATATTCCAACGCCTTGTCGTGACTTCTGGGCAAAGCTTGCGATACGTCAAGCAACCAACATTCATCTTTCCACCATAAAATATTGTGTTCCGACAAATCTCCGTGGACCAGACCACCGTTGTACAACTTTTCTATATAATCTAGCACTATCGACAATATTTCCTCCCATTTGTCTTCTTTTAATTTTAGTCTTGCTAATGTAGGAGCTGGTTTATCGGGATCCCCTATATATTGCATTATGACACAGTGCGATTTTATCATAAACGGCTCGGGACACTTTATCCCCAGCTTTCTGATTTCTTTAAGACCATCAAACTCTAGCTTCGCCCATTCTTTAGCCACATTCCGCGTATGACGAAACATTGCACGAAATCTGAAATCGGGCTTTACAAAACGCTCGGTCTCTATCGATTCGATAAGATTTGTTTTGAACACTTTTATTAGACATTGGGAATTTAAATTTGGATGTGACGTGTTCGCGTGAAGAATAATCGATTTGTTTCCGACAGATATCACTCTATCTACGTCCGTTAAGATTCCTGTGTTTACTAGATTTCTTAAGATCATACGCGAGTATTGTTCATCTATAGCTAGTTTAGCTACATGGCGTTCAGGGTGGTACCACGGCTTATGTATTAATTTTTTTGAGTTTGGCACTACGTAAAAGGTACCGTGTTTGTTTATATCGCGTGGGAATTGCACAACGTTTTCGTCATTTTTAAATGGTCGTTTGTAGTTAGCCACTTGCTTCGGGCAAGCGAACTCCTTCAAATGAACGTCTAGTGTATCCCAATATTTCTCAGTAATGTAGTTTTCTTCAGTCACATTTATATTGTCAAGTATCATGTTATTTACTGTAGACGCAATGTCACTTTTTGCCGCCACTATAAAAATCACGGGTTTAGAATCACTCACGTTAAACGTCTGCTGTATCCACTGATGTTTATTTATAAACAGCTTCTAGTTTCAAAGCGATGTGCTTCAAGCAATTGATTATGTTTGAAGAAATACGAGCGAATCCTGCGGTGTATCTCTTATGAGCGTACAATGCGACTAATTTCCTCGTCGTGACTAACCAATGTTATATAGGAATAAATATTTCATAACATTATGCCCGTTTTATTACTGTAAACATTGAAATATTGGATAATGAATGAAATTGTGATTCATAATTAGATTTTAGAGATAACGTTTCTTATCACATGTTTCTCAAGACAAGTCAATATTAAATACCTTATGATATTGTATTTTTATGTCGTTATGGTCGTGGCTTCGAGTCCAGGCAGTGTCATAAAATTTTGTAATTTACGAATGTTATCCTTTTTTATTTTGGAAGACCTATATTTGAGTTTTAAGATTTTTATTATATTTTTTTTATTTAAGATATATTCTTAACATGTGAGCTATATTTAAGTATTAAATATTGACAACTCCACTACTACCCTCACTTTAAAGGAACTCCGTAAATCGGTTTAAAGTTTATTATTTTCTAGTTTTTATTATTAGATAAAATAAGATGTCCGTTTCTTTTGTTTTCAAACGAGGTTTTGCATTATTCAATTTAATCAAGGTCTCTTTTTTAAGATCATATCGACACAAATTGGTTTTATGATTTGTATGAGATCACTTCCTGTACATAAAAAAACAATAAAAATTATGTTGGATACTGGTTACGCTAATCTGGCCGAAAATCCACTCACCTGGGTTTACCTTGATAGTATAGCTGTCTCCGTCTAACTAATGGAGAATGCGCAATGTCTGGTTTTCCTATCTCATTTTCGCACACGTGTTTATCAATGATTATTTTAAACGCAGACACGTCACCTGACAGTATTTAAACTTTTACTCAGGGAGAAAAATAACAATGATGGCTATAAACGTAATATTTTATAACATAACTTATAATAACAAATAAATTTAAATATTACTAATGAAAAATAAGGACAGCTGTTTCGTACTATTATTTAAGCTGTACAAATAATGATAAGCCATTGTTACTATTATTTATAAACTGTTACATTTTTCATCTTTATTATTTCTTCAGTAGCTTAACGGAAGCGGAAGGAATTCTTTTTTAAGTTTTTAAATTCTTCTCGACCTTTGAAACGTCGTCTTCTTATCACCGGTCTACCATCTCTCTTTCCCTATTTTATATAAAAAAATATGCTAAATTCAAAATCTTTTTATATTTGCTTTTAAAAATTAGAAACAGTCAAACTTATCGAATGTTTTGGAAGTATAATTTAAAAATTAGTTTACATGGATAATTACTAATTAGTTAAATGGACAGTTAATTACTACTTAATAAAGTTTTTTTTTATAATGAGCGATTACATGATCATAGCAAAGTACGTAACTATTCCCTGATATAATTATTTCAGTTCACGACTAAGTTGATCGGGCGCACCTGTTATCTTTGTTTAATCTTTGACGCGTCAGGCTCGTTCTACCTCGAAGGTTTTTCGTTGCTTTGTTGTGTCCGAGCTGTTGTCGAGGTAACCGTACCGTGAAGCTCTTCGCGTACAAAACTCGTTTCGTGCATGCTCAGTGCAGTGGCTGTGATACGGAAATGTAACACTGGTGAACATAAAAATTCATTATAATGGCATTAAAAAAGGATTTCGACTTGCCCGTTAGTTTCAAACAAATCAAGTTGCCGAAAACCGCGAACATACAGAAGGCTTTCGAGAGATTGTTTAAAAAGAATAACTACACGAAAATAGTGCAAAGTTAAGACTGTTTGTTGATTAAATGGCCGGTGAATCTAGTGCAATTAGTAGAAATAGTTCTTTTGATAAACCACCGGAGACGCTTTTTATTAAAACGGAGACAGAGTTCGTCGGGCGAGGGAATACAGCTTATGTGGATAGACACAGACGAAGTAGGAGTCGGAGCGGGTCCAGAAAGATTCCTTTGAGCGTGGCCGATGATAGTTTTTACAAGGATTTAGAGGATTACGTGAAAGAGATGTCGACGTCGCGGGACACGACTATGGAGGCGGAGGATGTGTGGAGTCAACTGCAGCAAAAGGAGTCTGATCTTCTCTTAGCAGCGGAGTTGGGGAAAGCTCTCCTCGATAAGAACGAGGAATTGAAGAAGGAGCAAGAGAAGGCAGCTGAGGAGTTCTCCAAAAAACTCGAGGTAAGATCATCTGACTAAAATAACTAATACAGACTCGAAAAATAGGCACTTTCGATTGCGGTTGTCGCAAAAATACTGCATCATTATTTTTATTTAAAACATTCGTCATAGTCCTGTATCTAATAAATTTAATTAGTAATTGTTAAGTTCATACATTTTAAACTGTGGTGTGTTATGACTTTCAAAAACTTCATCTCATTCCATCACTAATGCATCAAAACCGCATTAAAAACAGTTTAACAGTTTGGAAATGGTCACGCCTCATACACACATTATATATCTGAGACATAATGAGCTATCGCCCGTTTTGCTGTTTTACGAACTTTCATCATTTATTTCTTATAAGGACCATACGATTCTGAAATACGTTTCTGAAACATTCAACAAACACTCTGTTGAAGTATTTCGGATATGAAAAAAGCTACATCGTCTAAATTATATCTATTTTCTTTTTGATTCTAAATATACAATTTTACTTATTTCATATAAAAATGTTATGTATTCCTTAGTCGCAAAGGATGTCTGGTTTTGTCACACACTAGCTGTGCCGCGCGACTTCGTGCGCGTTGTTTCTTACACATTTCCCACTGTTTTTCCTCTCTTATTAGTCGCAGCGTGTTGTTTTATAGCCTAAAGTCTTCCTCAATAAATGTTCTAACACAAAGAGATTTTGAAATCGAACCAATAGTTCCTGAGATTAGCGCGTTCAAACAAACAAACTCTTCAGCTTTATAATATTAAGTATAGATATCTCTGCTTCTATAGTAATTTGTGCCAATATGACGAATTGCATTTATGAAAAGGATACTAAATACATTTATTTTGCTACAGTTTAAAATATTTTGTAGAATCGTGTTTCATACAAACGCTAAAGTAAAGGCGATAAAGTAATATAGGTACCTACCTAATTTCATTATATTTAGAATTACTGCATCCGACTACATTAGACATTGTAAGGGTGAAACCCAGCATATTTTATAGTACTTTTCATTTATCCGATTGTAGTACACAATGGTAGTATATCGTATTATATCAACACTATTGTACAAGTGCTAACAATATTTACGACATTGATAAAGGCTTATCGTAAAATCAATATCACGTTTGATGTGCTCTGACTTTTATCGTTATAAAATACCACATTTGTTATGCGGTATGTAATGTTTAATATTAACTAGTACTTATAACGGGCCGATAGACTTTTCGGCAGTTACAACCGAATTTCGGCATCCGATAGTGCGATCTTTTTTAATGATATCTGTCATTATAAATATTGCTTTGCCAACGGTATAAATCACTGGTAACAAACTCTTAAAACAAATTCATTTTGTTGACTACTAGCAGGCACAGATGTAATAAAAATTGTATGTATAATTAGTATAGTATACATAACTAGCCGTGCCAGCAACTTCGTCTGCTTTTCAGGTTCAAAAGTTTTATTTTAGAAATGTCCTTGTCATCTTTATAAATTATAGCTGATATCCACAACGTCGGTCGGACATAATATAGTGTCGCGGAAATTTTTGTAGGTCATTTTGTTGGGTGTCTTGAACCGTAGTCGCACGCAACGGAAACTCAAAGATGAATAATTATTCCCGTTTTGAAGACTAAAGCCTTCCTCGAGAAATGCTCGACACAAAGATAATTTTTCAATTCCAAACCAGTAGTTCCTTTGAAGGCGCTAGTCACAACTAACGCGTTCAAGCAAACAACTTTTTCAGTTTTATAACATTAGTATACGTACATAATATAATATAATACATTAATTGATTATTATTTTCCTATAAAATGAGGTGATGAGAGTCGTTAAGATATTTTGTAAGTAAGCAGTTGAGCGTCAGACTTGCATTGTAAACTTGTGTAGCTGGGTGGGTCATTAGCTCACCGTTATGGTGAATCATGGAGAAACAAGATTCGAAGCTTCCGAAGATACAAGTTCACTTACCTTAACACTTGATTTTTTTTGCTGGATTATTTATAAAACATTTAATTTACTGTTAAATATATTAGTTGTTTGCTTACTTTATATTTACTTATTAATTCATGTAAAACACAAATCTAATTCTCAAAGATATTATTAAGAACAGTAACTATAGTTTACACGAGTAGTACACATTTAAATAAAACAGTTTAACGGTTTAAAAAGCGATACATTAGTTAAACTTATTTGAAAATGATTTTAACTAGTATATCGCGTTTTAAACCGTTAAAGTGTTTTATTTAAACAGTAACTTATTTGACAGTCTCATCGAGATCCGACTTGTGACAAAACTTAAAGCTTTGAATAACAGAAAAAAGCTGTATTTTTAAACAGAAAAAAATTGAAATAAATTATCGTTGATGCCTATATAAAAAACTGTTAACATTATTTCCGGTATTATGTCCCACGTTAAGATCAGACTTTCTATCAATCACAACTAATTAACTAAGCCGTTCAGCCGTCAACAAACAAACATACTTTGCATGCCAGTCGAAATAATTAACTGTTTTAATCTAGTGACATATTCACTGGCTACAAAATTAAATAATATCCATTCATATTGCCTTCGAAGCTTAGTAGGTTTGAACGGGTTGCTTAGCATTGTGTTTAAGCCCAAGGTCCTTGGTTCGAATCGGGGTTGAGTCAGTACAAACTGGTAGGTAATAGTTTCGAACGGCAAGATACAGAAGTGTGGCACCCTTAAGTGAAATCGATCAGTGAAACTGACACAAAACTGTGTCTAGCTTATGCCCCAATACGAAATTATTTCTCAACAAATTGTGAAGATTATAACATTTTTATCGCCTTTACTTCTTAACTACTTAACACTTTAGACAGCTTTGCAATACATACTGTTACATTGTAACTGTAATAGTTACGACATATTCCAATTAACGACTAAACTTAACCGCGGAACACATGTTAAGATTATAAAAGGCATTCATAAATTTCCTAGAGATATAGTGTTTAACTAATAAAACATATAAGGTGGAGTGGTGTACCTGATATTTTTACTACTAATATAACAGCGTTTTCAAATCGTTTGTGTTTTGTTTCGACGTGAAGCGTAATAGATTAAAAGTGTTGCAATTATTATTAAAAAATAAATAAAAATCGGACATCTCTCAAATCGTATTATACTATACTAGGCAATATATTTTGATTATTGAAATAATAATAATAAAAGTAAATACTCTAATATTATTTTACTTAAATTGTTCTTTTAACTTTTTTTTATTACATGCTCATCATTTAACTTCTAGGCGAATACAATATTGCCATAGATAAACTTATCATAGATGAAAAAGAGATACATACTCTTTCTCTTTTATAATCTACAACGTTCTAAACCGTTCTCTTTGTCTATACCAATACAGATAAAACCTCCGCACAACAGACTGCATTAGAAATTTATATTGATGCACAGACTATGTCAGATACGAAGCATGATTAAAGAATGAGGCTTCTCGTATACTAGTGACAGTGACCTGCAAAATTTCAACGCCCCAAGCTACAAGTGACCTCCATATCTCGTTTGATCATACTTTATGTTAGCTATGTATCTTATAAAACAATTTATCACTTATAAATCACGTTTAATATGCATTTGACCCTAATTTACTAACCTGTTGTGATCGTTATTCCAAAATTGATTATTAATGTGTTTCCTGAGATGTAATAATTGCCAAATTGGAAGATTTTGAGATTCGAAATTGAATATAAAACGATAATTAATTGTAATCAAATGTAAGAAAGAGCCAACTTCAAAAACATGTCAATAATTGGGAAGGAGTTCATTTACTAGCTGTGCCTGCGACTTTATCCGCGTGAAATACTTAATTTGGGCATCAATTATAGCTTTTACTTACTTCGTCCGTATTAAAAAAAATTCTTTCATTCTAATTTTTATATTATTTTTTTAACCATTTTCGCAGAGCACGCAACAGAAGCCCTTAAATATGAATAATTCTCCCTGTTTTCACACAATTTCCTCTGTCTTCGCTCCTATTAGTCGTAGCCTAATGTTTTATTGCGTGTAAATTGTTAGTACCTTCAGGTGTAATACATAAATTACGGTTATTTTTATTGATATTAAATATTTGTCTTTTCACCTAGACATTGGACACACGTTCATTAAGTAAAATTTCACAATCGTCCGGGGAATCGAACCTCTTAATTAAAGTCAAGTAAGTTACCATTACGAAAGAGAGGCTGTTGGAATATTAAGTGGGAATGAATCATTCTTCAGTAAACTGGTCACGATTCAAGTAAGGTTTTGAAATGGAACGAATATAAAAGGCGGTTAGGTTCGCTTACTAATAGCTAACAGTTGATTAGTTTAGACAGAATAAGAATAAGCTAATATACCAAATCAATTGTGTTACACAAGAAAGTACAAATCGGGCAAAACCAGCACTGTAGAGCCTTTTTTCCATTTTTGTAGTTTAGTTTGCGACTGTTTTCAAACGTGAATTTTGTAAAACCGTTTGATTTGTCGGTTGAAAGGTTTTTACTAATCAATTACATCTTAGGAATAGCAAAACATTGCAAAACAGACACAAAAATATGACTGTGGATTATTCACACTTATTTAAATAGAATGTTAGTTAAAAGGTTGTTTCCTTAATATATAATTTATGTGTCATATATAACTTACTCGCATACGAATTCCATTGTTAAGTATCAGCGATTAAGTTTTCTAAACGTTGTTAGGAACGTTTTCCAAACAAACTTTACCTAACCAGTTGCTTTAAGTCACTGTAGTGTTTCTTAATTTTAATAAGAATAATTGTTTAATTGTTCGCCAGTGAGAGCCCGTCGGAGGTCGCGGCCTCGAATTCGAAGCCTATTCTTATTTCGGGCTTGTTCTAGTTTTGGTAATAAATGCTAAGTCTTTGATTAAAGGCACACATGGAAAAAGTAACATAAGGATTAACTTGAAGACGCCATACAGGATCTAATAGTATACGAATCGAGATATAATTTATATTCTTTGAATTGTGTTCTCTATTTGCTTATA